AAACAGTCGCAACCACCACATGAAACTTTAGTCGCCACCATTAGAAATCGTGTGAGACAAGGAATATGTAAATTAAACGCAAGGTAACTCTTACTCTTCGTTTCCCCAATTTAGTCACTCCTTTCTAGGCTCAATCAACCTCTCAGCAAATGGAAATCAGTTGTGTCAAAAATTTTGTTCAATTTGATGCCGCACGGCAAATTCTTTGGACACGTGTACCAAAAACATGAAGTCTCAAAACATTTAACAATAAATACTTAACATCCCAGCTTTAAGGCATCAACTTAACATCTTGTAAATTTTGACCACATGAGGATTCTGTCGCGGTTTACATTCGCACATAGCTCCGCGACGCGACATTGGGATAAAAAAACGGAAATATGAGGTGGGGCGGCTTGAAAAAAGTGCCATGGAAAAGCAAGTACAGATTGCCTATGCTGTACGCTCTTTTCTTGGCAAGACATTCCTAACTGCGGTCTTGTGTCCTTGAAGTAGCTTAAAGAAGAATATTTGTTGATATCTTCGAATTACTATGCTGCATGGTTGTTTGGTTGTGTAATATATGCCTCTGCATTTCATAGAACTAATAAGCACTATTAGCGTCACACAATCACTGCCGTTATAAAACAATAAAACAATTATTAGCGATGTTTGAACAGCCGCGTTTGGAAGAGACCAGTATCTGTGAAATTTGGAAGTGAGGATCGTAGAAGTAGAAAATGCGCGTGCGGGAAAAGGAGTGAAACGGGAGATGTTCGGGCAGGGGTTTTTGGGGAGTGACCTCTCGTGTTAAAATTTGCTAGAAGATGTGACCTCCCACGTTTCGGGAGTGATGCGCTGCGGTTCACTGTCGGAAAAAGTGCTCGTACGTATGACGGGGGTGACTTGGTGTATTATACAATTGATAACAATGACCTGTTCTATAATTTCCCTAGCGCATAGGGCGGTACGCCCCGGGCAAATTAGCTAAGTAGGAGCGCTGTCGTATGCGCAGCTGGCAGGGGCGGGGACTTTGTCGTATGCACGGCTGGCAGGGGCGGGAACGCAGTCGTTAGCTGCGACAAGTTCCACGTAGGCATGTTACGAGGTGTTCGCATCGCGTGTCGAGTCTAGGTGTCAGGTGCGCAGGCGAATTGTTGCGTTGCCACAATAACTGTAAAGAATTTTCCATTCCTTACCGAGCTGTACTGCTATCGCGTACACTCGAACACACCCGAAGCCTCGGGACGTTTCCAGACCTACTGACAGAACCGCCTCGGCTTCTCCAGACCTGCTAGTTCGACCTTCGGGAGTTCTCCAGGCCTCGCTACGACATTTCGAGACCCTTCGATCTCCTTCCCGAACCTTCCCATCGCATGGTTAGACTAGCTCTGGTGTTCCTATATCTTGGCTTGCCATTCCTTGTATCGTCATTCCTTGAGTGAACACTTCGTTATTCATTTCCGCACTACTCTGCTTGTTCATTCATAACAATAACAATACAAAATTTTACTCCAAATCGTCAATTGATTCGACTACAAATAGACTCGAAACTATACGGTGTTCGAATAGCAAAGAACAACGTAAAACAACGATTAAAAACACCACTGTTTCTAAACTACAGCACACGTCGACGAGGAGGAGTACGTGGTGGAACTCCACATGATTCCGTCATCGCAGATGGCGTATATCGATTGGCTAACGTGGAGTTTCCGCGTCAGCCCCTGAGTAGGTTGATCGCAACGGTAATCCTTGTTGGCGTTTCTGACACATTTGTGATCGCAACTGGTCGTGGACCACTCATGAGCGCATTTACGTGGACCACACGATTTCTACTGGTGGCGACAAAATTTTCACATGTGATTGCAATGGTTTTCATTGGCCGGTTTGCGTACTTGGGTGTTATACTTACGGAATTATTGCATTTGCGAAAATTTTGCGCTAGTCGTCATAGCTCCAATCGTATATGATCTATAATATGGCGCCTTACGAACATTTCTAAGTCATGAATATTAGCGTGGTTTTCTGATCTGGACGGTGCGTAGCTCGTTTTCACTACTTTTGCAGTGACACATCGGCACATCACATTTCAGTCAGGAATACACATCAGAATCGTTTCCGCACATCTCGTTACAATCCACCCTCAGTCGCAATACACTTGTCAAACCCTTCAATATCCTAACATCTTTGCGGACGACTCAAGATTGTTTCGATCATTTAGAAAGCCAGCTGTGCAAAACAATTGAAACCTAAATAATATATTATTTTATTCTGCTCCCATTCTTCTACAATTAAAATGATGTATTATTTTGCATTTATCTGATAATATATCAGATAATACACATCTCCAAAAAATGGTTGACCCACACCTCACCTCGCCAAAGGCATCTCCCCAGAGTGCCATTCAGGACACCTCGTGGTGACATTTGGGTTACATGTGGGTCAGGTTTAGGGTTAAAGGTTACATGTGGGTCACGCACACCCCAACATGTGACTTGCGAACTGACCCCCTACTGACCCGGACCCAAAAGTGACCTGTTGGCTAACAACATAGAGAAGACCCGTGTTCAATACCCACATGATCCGCATAATGTGGCGTAAATCAAAGTGCAAATGCAAAACCACACCCACACAGGCCCAAGGTATGGGCTCCAGGCAGCGAGATCCATGCCATTCTGAACGTTGGCCAACGTTACCTCAACGACATGCACGGAAAAACCGCCCATCACATCATGATTGGACCAACAAGAAGTGGTGTATTAAGGGCACCTAAGGAACAAAGTAGTGACACTAAACCAAAACCGGGAGGGTCAGCATTCCCCCTCCATAAGAGACACAAATACATTTGGCACAGCCTGACAATCAGAGCTTGGAGCGAAGAGTTTAGAAGAGAAAGCAGTTCACCAGGAACACCCCAGGCTCAGTGATACTGGGGACGATGTGGGCAAGAGATAGGATGTTGTCCACATCCAGCAGCGCATATGCATGAACCCACCCTGTTGGAATAACCCGCTCGCAACCTGTCAAGGGGCACACTCCCTCAACCTCTGTAAAATACTTGATGAACGATGGACAAAGGACCTACTGGAGCTCGTTCACCCATTGGAACAACGCCAGGCAATGACCGAACCATACTGTCCGTGGTGCATCGATCCGAAAGTGCCTGAACCATCCCTGCTTCGAAGATGCCTTGACAACCTGCCCGTTGTCGCCTCGGTCCATGCGGTCATGGGGTGGGATGGCTAAAGCAGTGTGCACTTGCAACACTCAAGAAGGTTGAATCAAGGTGGAAAGGGGAGGGGGGGAGGAAGGTTTATTGGTAACAGCATGGGTTTTTTCGTCAAGGAAAGGCCTTGGAGGTAGGCACCTAGCGACACCAACTCATTGGGGACGCTACGGTGATACAACCTTGCGTGCTTACCTGTATGGAGACAACACCGGACAGTGCACGGCGCACCTCCACAGCCATGTGGTCCATGGCATCTGCGCCAACAGCCACGCAGTACGCTGCCCACACGGGGATGTGAAGGTCACCAATGACCAACCTCCTGCTAGTCCGCGTCATCACCCGTGCGTTCCGCTCCAGAGCCTAATGTAGAACGGGCAAAAACATGGTCGAGAAGCAAGCGGCCGAGGTGGAAATAGGTGGGAGACAAAATTGGAGGCATGGCTGGGGGTCGGAAAAGGGGTGAGGAGACCCTATTGCGCCACTCGGCCACAGAATGGGAGCGACGATAAAACAAGTGGGGTGTGGGGGGGGAGGATAGTTCGGGGGCGCGGGCAGAGCACAGACCTGCATAGGGGCTGTGAAGCGGGCCAAGCTTATAGACATTGACTTTCAAAGAGAGGTGAGCCTGGTATGATGGAGACATGGTTTCAAATCTGTTCAGGAACAATTAACAGATGCTCTTGAAGCTCATTAATGAGTCAAAGTCTCATGCACGTGTTTCGAAATGTAGGTTAGTCTTTTCTTTTGCAATATATTTTTTAGAATAATTAGAAATATGAAAAAAAAAATCACATGCTCCTCAAGCTCACTTATAATTCAGATACCGTGTTAGAGTATGTTAGCGTATGTACACTTTACGCTTTGTGCCGATTTGGATGGGTGCTATTCTCCACGAATTTGCTAGAGGTAGAAGCAGCACGGGAGGCATTAGCGTCGTCACCCTGGGATCCGGAACAAGGAGGAGGGGTCGAGATTGCTGCAGCCTAACAAAAATGGACCAAGAATGACGTGCTAGCAAGGAGTTACGAGTGTCGCAGAATAGCATGTGGTGTTAGCGCTGGGAGGTATTCGTCGTCATAGGAGGAGAGAATACACGCTGTTCTTGTTGGAGAGTAGAGAGGGAGGAGGGGGTACGTGTTGGAAATCCTAGATTGGGAGGGATGTTGTGCCGTTGGGCGGGTGGATGGGGTTGAAATGACGATTTGAGCAGGCAATTTTGAGTTAACGACTTGGCGAACTGTCTTAATTTTTCTTTTGTGCATTTCTCTTTGGTCTGCCCAAGGAAACATATGCAAGCATACAATGCAATCGTACGCATAATAACGCTTATATGTTGTACGTGCTAGTGCGCCCAAACGTCTTAGCCAGTCTTTGCTCCGTCGATTTTGATGGTCATGGAGCTTCAATCGGCGGAATACATACTTAATTTCTCCAGAGGTTCAGTGTAGGTTCCTTTCAGACTTGATTCTGCTCCTAAACCGACTACACCCTAGGTTTGGTTGCTATATCACCCCAACCACCCTCAATTATTATATTCCCAAAAAAGTCGTCCAACTTCCTCTCGACTCCTTATCTCCTCTCCTTGCCTAGGCTTAATTGGCTTGTTGTTCTGGTAGGATCAAATCTTCCAAGACCCTAGGCTCCCTATTACTCTTCCTGTCCTACTGTGCCTCGTTTGTCACTCCATTTCTCTCTTTTTGTTTCTCACTCAATTTTCTCTCCTCTTCTCGCTCCGTTCTCCCTTCTCTGTTTCTCGCTCAATTCCTCCCATTGCATCTCCATCCGCAGGTCCTACAAATGGCTGACAAGAACCATCCCAACATTGTGCGCTTGCTGGGATTCTCTGTTGGAGGGGACGTGAGGACACGGATCGAGCAAATCCTGATCTATGAGTTTGTGACCAACGGCGACCTTCAACAATGGCTGGACTCCAGTGCATGTGTGGGTGTGTGGGAGGCAAGAGTGAATCCTTGGTGCCTTGCCTGGGCTTGGGTTTTCCTTCCACATGTGAACTGCCAGCCAGTATGGTGTATAAAACGATCAACTTGTGTTGTGCACCCTTGCAGAGGCACTGCCACCGTTGAGCCTGGAGCAATGGTTGGACATCCCTATTGGTTTGGCATGCTGCTTTTGAGGTGCCTAGGTATTTATCGACTTTCGTTTCAACATGTGGTTTTCTCCTTGCAGATGCGCCCCAGTGCATGAGCCTGCAGCAGTGGTTGGACACCCTCATTGGTGTGGCACGCGGCCTCGAGTACCTCCACAGCTTTGGCTTCGTGCATCGCGATATTAAACCCGCCAACATCCTCATCAGCGCTGATATGCAGGTAAGCTTTACAACAGGGCCACATGAAGTATTCCCCGCTTATGAGTCGACTCAAAAGCAGCTTTGGCTTTGTGCATCGCGACATCAAACCTGCCAACATCCTCATCAGCACTGGTATGCAGACAAACATTAGAAAAAAGGCCACTCGAAATAAATTGCAACCTGTGCTGGGCCAGATGGCGATGAAAAGTGTTGAAGAGGAGTCAATATAGGGTGCGATGGCAATGATCCCATCTTTTCATTGCGATCTTGATCCAATGATTCTCTTCTCTTCTTACCTGCTCAACTACCCTCTACCTTACTTCGGTCTCCATGACATCTACAGGCCAAGGTTTCGGATTTTGACCTTGTGAGGGCCGGAGAGGGCACCACCGTGGGGTCCACTCGAGTCATGGGAACACCAGGCTATGTGGATCCTATTTATTCCAAGACGTCGAAGGCAACCATTACCACTGATGTCTATATGTAACTAGAGAATATCAGGTGATATTTAAAGCGAGGATCTCGAAACCCTCTGAACTCAAAACCTAAGGTTTTGGTCACCAGACAAGATGCCACGGTGTCAAAACCTAGTTTTTTTTAGCTCGGCGGTTTCGAGATCCTCGCTTCATGGGACTGATATGTGTAAGTGGGTGTTAGGGAGAAACATGTGTATCTATGTTTGCTTGGTTGCACTTTGGTGTATTTCTATAATTTATTACATCATATCATGCATTGTGTTTGTTGCATTGTGAAAACGTTGTTTGTGCTTAAACGTACCACAAAGTGTGCTTGCATGGTAACTTTAGAAAGAAGTTGAGTTGATAATTTGATAGTGAGAGGATACAAGGCTTTGTACCTAGGTAGCCAACCCTAGGTCAAAGAGGGGTTGACCAACCCAACCATTACTGGGTGAGCCAATAATGGTTGGGAAGGTTGACCACCAATTATAGGAGGGCCAATAATGTTGGGTGGCCAACATTGTTGGAACTCTCGAGAATTGGGGTCAAGGGTTGGTTGACCCAACCAACCCCAACCTTCATCTTCACTACAACACTAACATACTACATATTATAGATATATGATATATTGTAACACAACCCCTTAGCATGTCGAAATGAGAGTGTTGGAGTGGGAGATAAAGGGACAACCCCTGTATCAAGGGGCGGGAGGAGGGCCAAGGCCCAAAAGAGGGAGAAGGGCGGAGTGAGCAGAGCGCGGGAGTGCTTTGGTGAAGATATCAGCGAGATTCGCGAAAGCGTCAATTTTCTTCACCACGAGGTGTCCTTGCTGAACGAGCTCATGGACGAAGAAGTATCGAAGTTCGATGTGCTTCGAGCGCCCATGAAAGATTGGGTCCTTGGTGAGATGGATAGTGCTCGCATTGTCGCACCAGAGCGTGGGGCAGGGCTGGGGCAGATTGAGCTCACCAAGGAGGGAGCACAACCACTGGGCTTCCTGGGCTGCCATGGTGGCTGCGTAGAGCTCAGCTTCACAGGACGAGAGAGCGATGGCGGAGGAACGAGTGGAGCGCCAGCTGATGAGGCCGCTGCCGAGGGTGAAGCCGTATTCTTGAGAGGAGCGCTGGTCAGGCTGGCAGTCCACCCAGGACGAGTCACAGTAGTCAGTGAGGGTGGCAAGAGCAGTGCCACCAAGAGTGAGGGCGTAGCCCTTCGTGCCATGGAGGTAGCGAAGCACTCTTTTGGCCGTAGTCCAGTGTGCGTCTGTGTGGCTCCCGGTCCCGACGAAGTGGGCGAGAACGCTGATGGGGTAGGCGAGGTCGGGGCGGGTGCACATCATGGCGTACATGAGGGAGCCAACAAGTTCGGGGTACGGGTTGGTGGAGGAGGTGGGTTGTGCTGGTGGTGCGAGCTGATGGCCGAATTCAAGGGGAGTGGAGACTGGGCGGGCACTGGCCATGTTGAAGCGGGTGAGGACGTTCTCAAGGTAGAACTGTTGCGAGAGGGTGATGGTGCAGGAGGCACGGTCCCGTGTGATGGTCATGGCGCTTGACCTGTGTCATCTCTGCTGCGTCATTCGCGACCAGGATCATATCGTCGACGTAGACGAGGATGTAGAAGCGGGATGGGGCAGTACGGATGAAAAAGCTGACATCTGCCTTGGAGGGGGAGAACCCGAGGGCTTGGAGAGTGGAAGCGAGTTTGTTGTACCATTCCCGAGGTGCCTGTTTGAGGTCGTAGACTGGGCGACGGGGGTCCCAGACAGTGTCGGGGGGGAATGGCTCGTGAAACCCTTGAGGTCGTTCCAAGTGGACCTCTTCATGGAGAACGCCTTGGAGAAAGGCATTGGAGACATCCATGCAATGGATGACCATGTTGAGGCGAGCCGCCATGTCGAGGATGGCGCGGATGGTGGGAAGTCTGGCCGTGGGGGAAAAAGTGTCCCAGTAGTCAGTACCCGAGGTCTGAGTGAATCCCTGGCGACGTAGCAAGCTTTGTAGACGGGTGCTTCCCCTGTAAGCTGCTTGACCCGGAAGACCCACTTCCCTTGGACAACATTTTTGTTGGCAGGTCATGGGACATGGACGAAAGAGGCATTGCGTATGAACGCTTCACACTCTTTCAAATGGCCGCCCACCAGTGACGGGCATCAGGACAGGTGGTGGCTTCACGGAAGTTTCCAGGCACAAAATTTGCGGAAGTGCCAGAGAAAGCGAAGACGGGGGATCCTCCAAAGTCCAGAGTGACTGGAGCTAAGGTGGGGTGATGTATGTGAAGGTTGAGGAGCTCTTCATGAGTATCTTCGAGGAGACACGAAGGTGTAAGTGCTGCTGTTTGGCTGTTCTACTGGTTCGCTGTTCGGCTGCTCTACTACTCGGCTGCTCTGCTGCTCTGTTGTTCGGCTGCTCTGCTGCTCTGTTGTTCGGCTGCTCTGCTACACAGAGTGTTGGAGGTCGAATGCTATGGTGGAGGGCTGCGCGTCGTTAGTCTTGGCCACCTACTACGCCCCATGGACGGGTGAGGATGCTGTTGGGGGGAGCAGCATGGTAAGGGTTGCAGGGGTCACAAGGATGGGATCGAGGGAGCGAGTGTGACGTTGGAGTGAGTGATATGGCTCGGGTGGGTCAGGGTCTGCGGGAGGGGGGTCGGGGGGAAGCGCAGGGGCAGGGGGTGGGGGAGGGAGGGCTGAGGAGTGGGATGGGGAGGGTGGGCAAGGGGCGGGATCAAAGATATCGCCAGAGGAGGATGGTGGGGGTGGAGGAGGTGGGGGAGCAGGTGGAGGAGGAGGAGGGTGGGGCGGGGGGGGAGGAAGGAGGGGTGGGGAGATGGCATCCGTCCAGAGTAGGGGAAGGGAAATCTAGGGAAGGGGATCAACGAGAGGGGGGCAGGTGTAGTAGGGAGTGGATTCATCGAAGATAACGTCTCGACTGCGAATGAGACGGCCTGAGGGGGGGTGGAGGAAGAGGTAGTCGGGAGAGGAGGGGTTGTGGCCAAGATAGAGACATGGAAAGGCTTTGGAGGTGAGTTTGCCAGTGGCACGATTGCGGTCAGCAGGGGGGATGAGAACTAGGGCTTTGGCGCCCCAGATGCGAAGATGTGAGACGTTTGGTTTGGTGGACGTCCATAGCTCAGTGGGAGTGGAGGTGGGTTGGAGGGGATGGGGATAAGGGTCAATGAGATAGGCCGCATGAAGGAGAGCATAACCCCACAGAGATGGGGGGCATGCAGCGTGGACGAGGAAGCAGCGTGCCATCTTAGTGATTTCCCGGACGCGGCTTTCTGCAACGCCGTTCTGCTGGGGGGAATGAGGTAGGGTGTGGGTATGGAGGATGCCGTGAGTTGTGCAGTAGGAGGAAAGGTGGTGGTTGAGGACTTCGCCCCCACCGTCGGAGTGGAAGCGACTGATAGTGCAGCGAAAGTGAGTGTGTGCTTGGGCCTCAGCTTTGGAGCGGAGGAGGGAGACAGTGGAGTAACGGATGTGGTCATCAACGATGACAAGGAGGTAGCGGTGACCCATGCGAGTAGGCTGTGGGTTTGGTCCCCAAAGGTCAAGGTGCACGAGGTCAAGTGGTGCGGGTGCATAGGAAGGGTTGCTTGGGTGGGGTTGCTGTTTGAGCTTGGCATGGACGCAGGTGGTGCAAGGGGGGGCGGGGGAGGGAGGGAGGGGAGGTAGGGTGAGAGGAAGACCGTGAAGGAGGCGATTGGAGATGGTGGATCAGAGGGCGACAAAGTTGGGATGGCCAAGACAGTGGTGCCAGTGGATGGCTGGGTGAGTGAGGGAGCGACAGTGGCAGGAGGAGGGGGGTGGTGGATCTGGTGAAGAGGGGATGGGGTCGAGGGCGGGGGAGGGGGTAGGGAGAAGAATGGGAGGGGTGGTTGTTGTGGAACGTGTGGTGGCAAGACAAGAGGTGGTGCGTGGGATGCGATAGGTGTACATTTTAGTGATGGGGCAGATGTGAATGCGAGAGATGTGGTGGACAGTGGTTGCGGTGTAAAGATCACTGTGGGTTGAGTGGCCAGGGTAGATGGTGGTGATTCCTGCTTGTTAGAGGGCACGTTGAGAGAGAAGATTGATACAAAGGGTAGGTATATGGAGGCCAGTTACTGTTCTGGTAGGAAAAAGAGGACAAGGGAGGGTGGAGGTGTTGTGGCATGGCATGTGAAAGCTAGAGTCTGCTCCAAGGACAGAGGAGGGAGCAGGAAGGGAGTGAAGGATGCCAGAGTCTTTCAGAGCAGATTCTGTGGCTCCACTGTCAAGTGCGAACTCAAGGGTGGAGGAGAGAGTTGCAAGGTGGGGAGTTTTGTGTGGCACAGAGTACTGGAATGAACTTTCATTGATAGATGAGGCATACATGGAATCAGAGACGGTCGGAGTACTTAGCTGGCCAATGAAGCTGGAGGACGGGAAGGCCGTCAAGGTGTTGAGTGCAGACTGCTGCTGCTGCTGAGACTGCTGCTGATGCTGGTGCTGCTGCTGTGGCTGCTGCTGCTGCGGCTGCATGGAGAGGAGGTTGAGGTGGTGGTGAAGATGAGGCGGGACATAGGAAGTGAGTGTTTGATGGAGTTGCGTGATGGATGGCTGATAGGCGGGGAGACTGCGGACGTCTTGTAAGGTGGGATGAGGATGGATGGTGGACCAGCGTGGGGGAGAGCTGGTGTTACCGCGGGCGAACCACTCATCGGTGAGTGCCTTGAAGCATGCATCAGCCGTGTGGGTGGTTTGCTGGCAATGTTTCCCGGTCTTAGAACCATATCGGATGAGGTAAAGGCAAGGAAGAAGTGTGCTGGTGGAGGGTGAGTGAATGGGAAGAGGGGAGGTAGCAGCAGGGTTGGCGCGACCGCCGCGTCCTCCTCGTCCGCCGCGCCCACCACGTCCCCCACGCCCACCCCGAGGCTGGGTGTAGTTGAGGGAAGGGGAGTCGGTGGGGTTGAGTTCATTCTCAGTCGCAAGAATCCAGGTGATGATATCTGCGGTGGGGACATGGAGGGAAAGGGGTTGGGAGTAGGAAATTTTGTGAACAGCATATGCTTTGGTAAGGCCATCCATCAGGCGCCAGTTAAGGTGGGAGGGGTCAACACGAGCCCCCCGTTCGGTGAGGCGAGCAGCAGTGCCACTGAGACGACGAGTGAAGTCATCGGCACTAGTGCAGGTGTTGAGTGTGATGGAGTGAAACTCGCGGTAGAGGGCATGGAGGGAGGCGAGGTCTTGGCGATCGTAGGTCGCCTGGAGCTCGGTTCACAGGGCCCAGGAGGAGGCTGGGTCCAGCGCACGCTTGAGGGAGGGGGGAAGGCAGGCGAAGATAATGCCGAGTGCCTTCATATCCGCAGTGCACCATGCCTCACTGCGGGCATCGAAGGTAGCAACAGCTGCGGCGTAAGTGACCATAGCATCTGCGTGTTTTTTAACAAGGGCTAGGGCCGCGTCATACTCGGCGACCAGGGCAGTGTGAGCATCGAGGTTGCGGGTGTAGATATCTCGGGAGGTGGAGTAGGTGGCAATGCGAGTGGCGAAGGTGTGCGAGTCGTCGTGAGAGAGGGGATTGGTGGGCTGGAGGCCCGCAGGCTCACGGAGGACTACCGTGGAGAGGCGGTAGCCACTGGCTCAAGTGGAGCGGAGAAGCATGTGCAGTTTGCAGGAGAATGAATGCCAGTTGACCGCCGTCGTGGTGTTGACAAGCTCGAGTTTGTCGACGGAGCTTGTGTCAACGTTGACACTGTCGGTCACCATGGTGGGGCGTTGCTACTGCTGCTGCTGCTGCCGCCGATGCTGCTGCTGCTGCTGCCGCTGCTGCTGTTGCTGCCGCTGCTGCTGTTGCTGCTGATGCTGATGCCGATGCTGCTGCTGCTGCTGCCGCTGCTGCTGCCGCTGGTGCTACTGTTGCTGCTGCCGTCGATGCCACCGCTGTTGCTTCCGCTGCTGCTGTCGTTGCTGTCACTGCTGCTGCTGCCAATGCTGCTGCCGCTGCTTCTGCTGCTGCTGCCGTTGCTACTGCTGTTGCCGCCGGCTCTGCAGCCCTCGTGCTGTGCTGCTGCCGCAGCTGCAGCTGCCACTGTCGTGGCTGGTATAGCCGCCGCTGCGGCTGCCGATGTCGTTGCTGACGGCGCGGCTGGTGCAGCTGCAGCCGCCGGCGCAGGGGGCGCTGAAGGAGACACCACGGCGGGCTGTTGGTGACGTGACGGCAGATGTCGCGACGGGGTCGTCGTTGTAATCTCCCCGCCGCATACGACGTTGGTGAAGCAAAGGGTGCCGGGCTGCAAGGGGCACACAGAGAACTTAGGCGTGCATGTATGAGCCAATGCTCCAATGCCCCAATGCCCTAATGCCCCAATGCACAGCGGGGTTGTCGCAGTGATCCCGACGGGCGCCGCCGCTGCGTACGGCGTTCGCGAATGCGACGGGCAAAGGCGCAGAGGTGGCGCGACGGATTGTGCGTGATGGAGGCGTTGAGCAAGGAGGAGCGCGGCGGGCGTCCGGTAGGCGGGCATAGCCGCGACGACGCGGTGAAGGACGCGGAGAGGGAGGGGGCGTCGGGCAATGGGCCGCTGCGACGAGGGCCAGGAGGAGCGTCAGGCAGAGTGTCGCCGCGACGAGGACGCGCGAGAGCCGCAACAATGGAAGGGAGGGGCGTCGAGCGAAGTGCCGCCGCGACGAAATGACGCGAGCGCCGCGACGAGGGAGTGGAGGGACGTCGAGCAAAAGGGCCGCGACGAAAGGCAGCGCAAGGCTGCGAGGGAGGGGGCGACGGGCGAATTCGCCGCATCGGGCGCGCGCACTGTCCAAAATGTCAAAATTTCAGGACGGGCAGGAATTTCGCTCAAAGGAATAAGGACGCCATGAGGGACTAGAGGAGGACGCGGAAAAAAAAAAAAAAAAAAAAAAAAAAAAAACGTTCAGGGGAGTGAACCAGGCTAGCGCATAGGATGCGCTAGTGAGGAGCGTGAGGTGGAGCGAGGAAATGTTCACAAGAGGGGATCGAAATGCTCTGATAGCATGAAAGAAGTTGAGTTGATAATTTGATAATGAGAGGATACAAGGCTTTGTACCTAAGTAGCCAACCCTAGGTCAAAGAGGGGTTGACCAACCCAACCATTACTGGGTGAGCCAATAATGGTTGGAAAGGTTGACCACCAATTATAGGAGGGCCAATAATGTTGGGTGGCCAACATTGTTGGAACTCTCGAGAATTGGGGTCAAGGGTCGGTTGACCCAACCAACCCCAACCTTCATCTACACTACAACACTAAAATACTACATGCTATATATATATGATATATTGTAACAACTTTGTCACCTTATCCATGTGAAACATTTTTGCTTGTGCTTATTCTGGGTGCAGCTTTGGAGTGCTGATGCTTGTGGTCCTCACAGGACGCAATCCATCTGGCGAGTGTGTCGAAGAGGCCGATCACATTCTACCATGGGTACGTTTCGTGCTTTTGAGGGTGGTCTTATTTTGAGGGGTGTTTTGTTTTGGCGAAGAGGAGGCCACATCCTGCTAGGGGTGCGTTTCCACGGTGGCGCAATGTGGGTAGACATTGTTAAAACGCGGTGCGACACTTGTTGTGATCGCGATTTATATCGCGCGATATAATATCGCATCGCTGCGACATTATTTCATGAAAACGGATATCGCATATCGCTTTTAGGGTGCGATACAAAATTATATCACAAAAAAAATGCAAGCGATATATCGCGTGATGCGATATAATATCGCATCGCATTTAGAGGCCACAGTTTTCCCGCTAAAAAAAAGGTTTCCCCACACCACATGGCACGGCAATGGCGGTTCTCCTAGTTTTGCGCGGAATTAAGTGAAAATTGACGAGAGTTGGGGATATCGTGGTGCCTCTCTCGAGTGGAGCGTGTTAGAGGGGCGGGGGTTGTATTCTGTAGATGCAGGGGAGTGTAGTGCAGTTGAAGGGGTGGTGGAAAATAGTTGGAGTTCCAACTCGTTGTCTTTGGGGGTCGACATTTCAGTCCAACCCCCTAAATCCCTTCAACCGCACACCACCACATCCCATCCAGAAAACCCATTCGCCCACCAGCCACCACCCATAACAAATTTGAACCTCCACCCAACTGTGAAACATGTATGCACTATGTTTGTATAGACTGTATAGGTTCATCTCTTAGGGGGTACAACATTTAGGTATATTCACTTGTACTCTCCCTCCTCAATTTCATTATTCATTTTGTTATGGTATCGTAGTAGGTTAGGTCCCCTAGCCCGCCCACGCTTCCGCCCCTCGGCCCTCGCTGCCGTCTTGCCCCCTCCCTAGCCCCCTCCCCCCCCCCCCCCTCCCCCCCCCCCTTGCCGTACGCGCCCGTCCCTAGCTGGCCCCCTGGCCGTTCGCGCCCGTTCCTAGCTGGCCCCCAGGCCGTTCGCGCCCGTCCCTAGCTGGCCCCCTGGCCGTTCGCGCCCGTCCCTAGCTGCCCCCCAGGCCGTTCGCGCCCGTTCCTAGCTGGCCCCCAGGCCGTTCGCGCCCGTCCCTAGCTGGCCCCCTTGCCGTTCGCGCCCGTCCCTAGCTGGCCCGTTGGCCGTTCGCGCCCGTCCCTAGCTGGCCCCCTGGCCGTTCGCGCCCGTCCCTAGCTGGCCCCCTGGCCATCGCGCCCGCCCCTAGCTGGCCCCCAGGCCGTCGCGCCCGTCCCTAGCTGGCCCCCTGGCCATTCGCGCCCGTTCCTAGCTGGCCCCCTGGCCGTTCGCGCCCGTCCCTAGCTGGCCCCCTGGCCGTTCGCGCCCGTCCCTAGCTGGCCCCCTGGCCGTTCGCGCCCGTTCCTAGCTGGCCCCCAGGCCGTTCGCGCCCGTCCCTAGCTGGCCCCCTGGCCGTCGCGCCCGCCCCTAGCTGGCCCCCAGGCCGTCGCGCCCGTCCCTAGCTAGCCCCCTGGCCGTTCGCGCCCGTCCCTAGCTGGCCCCCTGGCCATTCGCGCCCGTTCCTAGCTGGCCCCCTGGCCGTTAGCGCCCGTCCTTAGCTGGCCCCCTGGCCGTCGCGGCCGCCCCTAGCTGCCGTCGCGGCCGTTTTCAGCCGGCTCACGGCCGCCCCTCGCCGTCGCGGTCGCCCCTAGCCGTCGTCGCTGCCGTCTCGAACCGCCCCACGGTCAATCCTGCCGTCGCGGCCGCCCCTAGCCGCCGTCGTATCCGCCCCACGGTCGCTCCTGCCGTCACGGCCGCCCCTAGCCGCCGTCGCGGCTGTCCCTGGCCGCCGTCGCCTCAGCTTCTAGCCGTCCCCTGTTGCCACCGTTTGCTGGCCCCTCGCGTCCATCGCCTGCCAGCCCGCCCCTGCATTTGCGTCGTCGCCAGCATGCCGCCACCTCGGGCTCAGCCCGTTCTTCCCGATCAGCACCGCCCTGCCGACCCCCCCCCCCCCGGTGCCGTACTGCACCGCTTTGCACCGCACTGTATCGCGCTGCACCGCACTGTACCGCACTGCACCGCACTGCACCGCACTATGCTGCACTGCACCGTCCTGGACCGCTATACACTGCCCTCGATTGTCACTGATGGCGGCAGTGCTTCGCTTTGATGCTGAGGGGCAGCCGCTTGAGTTTGATGCGTGGCTTGCTCACCTCCGTCGCCACCTCACTAGTCAGCGGCAGGATGGACACTCGCTGTCTGTCCATCTTGAAGGTACCCTCCCCTGCCCTGACCCCCCCGCTGCACTATTTACTGACCCCTTGTCCGTTGAGCGTGAGTCCACTGCGGCCGCTGCCCTTGCTCGCTCTGTCTGGCTGTCCCGTGACGCTGTCGCACAGCTTGCCATTAGCAATGCCCTCCCCCTGTCCGAGCGACCTCGCTTCCGGTCTATCACCACTGCCCAGGCTTTCCTAGATGCTATTGTCCAGCGCTATTCCACACCGCCTGCTGCCTCGGTCGGTCGTCTGATCCTCCCCATGCTCTTCCCTGACCTTGCGTCGTTCCCCACTGTCGCTGACCTGGCCGCTCACCTGCGCGCTATAGATGAGACCTGGCGTGTTGCCTGCACTCCCATACAGCTTCTGGCCCACCAGCCGCCCCTCACCTCTACTCTCTACCTACTAGCCACCCGCCTCCCTGACCGTCTTGCCACTGCCCGTGACCACTTCCTTAGTGTCCACCCTGCAGACCTCACCCTCACTGACTTTGTTGACACCCTCTCCGTTATAGAGGCCCGCCACCGCTCTATCGCTCAGACCAGCGGTACTGTGCCGGTCCCTATTTTTCAGGGTTGCGCCCCCGCTCAGTACACCTTCTCCAACGGTTCTGCTGCTGTGGCTGAGACTGCCGCTACAGCACATGTCCGTCCGGGGAAGGGTCGCCGCCCCAAGGCTGGGCTTGGCGGCGGGGGTGGGGGTGCAGGTGTCGGTGGTGGTGGAGTCGGGTCGCCTGGTGGTAGCGCGGACGAGGGGACCCTGCGAGGTGCAGCCGAGCAGCCGCCTCAGCAGCTGCAGCAGCCACAGCTGCTGCAGCAGCCACAGCAGCCACAGCAGCCGCAGCAGACGAGGCGGGCGAGCGGTCTCCCGCCCGGGTGGCCTGACGCTGGTGGTGGTCGTGCGCGTGGTGGTGTGCCGGGTAGCGGTTCGGGAGGCGTGCGCTGTCAGTACCAGCTTCAGACCGGTCCTCGCCACGGCTTCGTTTGCGGTAAGCTCGGTCAGACCACTTCCCGCTGTTTTCGTCGCCTGGACGACCTGTTTCGTCAGCGCTTCAGCCCGTCGCCCGACCTCTCGGACTGGCACAGTATGCTTAGTCGTAGAGTTCAGGTTTTTGACATGGATATGGATGACATTGTTGCTGCCCTGCACGTGATGTATGCTGATGACTCTAGTGTGCTTCCCTCTTATTACTCCTTGTCGCCTAGTGTAGGTATGCCTAGCTTAGACTCAAGAGCTGCGTCAGACGTAGGATCTCCTGCTTTGTTTAGCCACGGTGCTTCTGCCGCTGCTCCGCCGCCAGACGCCACTGCTGCGCTTTCCTTCACCTTGGACTCTGGCGCTTCCCGGTGTTCCTTCCGCGACTCCACGACGCTGACGCCGCTTCCTGTTTCTGCTGCAGTTTCTCTTGCGTGTGTCCACTGCGGTCTCCCTGTCTTGCGTCTTCACTCCGACCGTGGTGGCGATTTTGCATCTGGTGTCCTAGGTCGGTTCTGTCGTGCGGAGGGCATCACCCAGACGTTCACCCTGCCGGACTCCCCACAGCAGAATGGGGTCGCTTAGGGACGCATCGGTTTGGTCATGGAGGTGGCTCGCACCTCCATGATTCATGCCGGTGCACCCCATTTTCTGTTGCCATTCGCCGTGCACTACGCTGCTCACCAGCTTAACCTGTGGCCGCACCCCCAGCAGCAGCAAGTTTCGCCGACCCTTCTCTGGTCTAGGTCTCCCGGTGACGCATCTGCGTTCCACGTCTGGGGCTGCCTTGCTCACGTTCGTGCCTCCGGCACGAACAAGCTCACTGCCCGCACCCTTCCCTGTGTCTTCCTCGGTTTTCCCCTTGACGCGTCCGACTGGCATTTCTACCACCCACCGTCCCACCGGTTCTTTCACTCCCGCGATGTCACCTTTGACAAGTCCGTCTCCTTCTACCGCCGCATCCCCCACCGAGGTCCCCCGGTTACTCCCCCCCTATTTCTGGTCACTCCTTCCCCGATGGTCCCTGCCCCTCCCCCCCCCCCCCTCCCCGTCCTGCCCCCTCTTGTGTGTCTCATGTCACCCCCCTCCCGTCGGTTGTCCCGATCGAGGAGTCTTCTGACTCTGGTAGTCCTGCGGCGCAGTCCTTGCCGTCTGCCCCTCCCCAGGTGTCTCCTCCTCCACTGCCTCCGCAGCCGCCGTTGCCTCTGCTGTCGCCACTGTCGTCTCCGCCGCCGCAGCCGTCGTTGCAGCCGCCGCCGCCGCCGTCGTTGCAGCAGCCGTTCGTGCACTCCGGGGGTGCTGGCGTTGGGGTGGGTACTATTCCCGGGGCTCCTGTCGTGGCTTGTCCCGGCGGGCCTGGGGGTGGTACCGGTGCTGGAGGGGTTTCGGGCTCTGGGGGTGTTCCTTCTGAGGGTGCTGGAGTGGAGTGTTCCGGAGGTAGCCGAGGAGCAGCTTGCGGTCCCGGTGTTGGTGTTGTGCCGCCGCAGCAGCAGTCCCCGCCGGTGTCAGCCCTTCGCCTACTCGGCCTTCCGTCCCCTGACCCTGCGTCTGTTCCTCTCCTGCCGTCTCCTCCTCTTTTTGTCTACGGCCCTGTGTTCCCTCCGCCGGACTCGTCCCCGGCTCGTCTCCCCCCTCGTTCCCCCCTTGTGTCCCCTCCTCTGTCTCCTGACCCGACGCCTCCGTCTAACGTCTGGTTTCGCCGTCCCTCCCGCGCTCGTCCTGTCTCCCCTCTCACGTGCTCTCACCCTATGTTGCTTCGTTCTCACGCGTCTTGTCCACCCCTCCTGCCGTCGCCTCCTCCGTCCTCCCTTGTCGTAGCGCCTCCCCCTCTGTTTGACTACCTTCGTGCCGCTCGTCCTCTTGTTCCTCGGGTCCTTGCCTCTCTCGTTACCGACCCGTCCGTTCTGGTCTCGTTTCTTGACGCTCTTGTAGCTGCGGTCGCTAACTTCGCCTCTACCCGCCGCCTTGACTACGCCACCGCTCTGGTCTCCGACCCTGCCTGTCCTCCGTCTGTCGGGGGTGCTCCTGCCCTTGGCAGTGACGTCCTGGAGGACCGACAGTTTGAGCTTGCTTTCCTGTACGAGGCTGCTCCCCATCTCTGTTCCATGCTCCTAGTCCCTGAGGGTGACCCAGACGCTCTCGACATCCCGACCCCTCGCACTTACGCTGAGGCGGTTTCGGGACCTTGGGCCTCTCCGTGGATAGCTGCCATGGAGCAGGAGATGGCATCTTGGAGATCCACCGGCACCTACGTCGACGCAGTTCCCCCACCTGGGGTGAACGTAGTCGATGGCCGCTGGCTCTTCAAGGTGAAGCCTCCTAGAGAGCCGCCTATATCCAAGGCGCGCTACGTGGCTAGAGGTTTCAGTCAGCGTGAGGGGGTGAACTTCTTTCAGACCTTCGCTCCGACCCCGAAGATGACTACTCTTCGGGTGCTGCTACACGTAGCAGCTCAGTGTGACTACGAGCTTCACTCCCTCGACTTCTCCACTGCATTTCTTCAGGGCAGTCTACACGAGCAGGTCTACCTGCGTCGCCCTCAGGGGTTCACTTGCACCTTCCCTCCTGGGACCCAGTGGCTCCTGCGGTGCCCCGTCTACGGCTTGCGACAAGCTCCCCGTGAGTGGCACGACACGCTGCGTACTACCCTTGCTGACCTGCAGTTCTTTCCGTCCTCTGCAGACCTCTCACTCGTCGTTCGTGCTGGCCAGACTCCGTTCTACATCCTTGTTTACGTGGATGATCTGGTCTTTGCCACCGTAGACAGGGACGCACCGGCCTCGGTGAAGGCAGAGCTGCTGAAGAGACACACTTGCACTGACCTTGGAGAACTGCGCCGTTACCTTGGCTTGCAGATCTCCAGGGATAGAGCATCGCGCACCATCACCCTGACTCAGTCACACTTGGTGCGACAGGTCCTTCAGAGGTTCGGCCTTCAGTTCTCCTCTGCACAGCCCACCCCTCTGCCTGTAGACCACGGACTCTCCGCTCTAGTTCCTTAGGAGTCAGCAGAGCCCAGTGGTCCTTACGCAGAGCTGGTGGGTTGCCTCATGTAGCTGATGACTTGCACTCGTCCAGATCTCGCATACCCTCTCAGCATCCTGGCTCGCTTTGTAGCCACAGGCAGACACCGACTGCAGCACTGGTCTGCCGCTAAGAGGGTTTTGCATTATCTTGCAAGTACATCGGGCATGGGGTTAGTGCTAGGAGGACGCAGGCCAGTGGTCCTTACTGGACACTCAGACGCTTCTTGGGCAGACGACGCCGAGACCCTCAGGTCATCCCAGGGCTACTGCTTCAGCCTTCGTTCAGGTGCTGTCTCGTAGAGAGCTACCCGCTCCTCGTTTGTTGCCCAGTCCAGCTGTGAGGCCGAGATCTACGCCGGTGCCATGGCGGCACAGGAGCTCCGCTGGCTGACCTTCTTGCTCACTGACTTAGGTGAGCGGCCTAGCTCTGCCCTAGTCATGTACGCTGACAACAGGGCCATGATCCTCCTGTGTCAGGAGCCTCGACTCGAGGGCAGAGCGAAGCACATCCAGCTGCTGTACTTCCTCCTGCACGAGCTACAGCAGCGCCGCCAGGCTCGCATAGTACACTTGGCCTCCGGTGCCAACACAGCTGACATCTTTACGAAGGCGCTTGCGCCTAAAGATCATCAGCGGCACTGTGTACAGCTCGGTCTAGTTCCTGTAGCCTCTCATTTGCTAGGACCTTGACTTTGTACTGTCCTTTATATATGTTCCTCGGACTGGACTTGTGTCCTCTTCCAGTGGCTGGACTAGTAGTGCCGCCCTGGCTTGCTCTTGCCTTGCCTGTACTCCTTTTGACTGGTCTTTAGACCCTTGTCTCAGTAGTTGGACTAGTAGTGCCGCCCTGAGCTGTTGTGTTTCGCATACGCAACTGCACCTATGCAGTCCAGGGGGTGTGTCAAACATGTATGCACTATGTTTGTATAGACTGTATAGGTTCATCTCTTAGGGGGTACAACAATTAGGTATATTCACTTGTACTCTCCCTACTCAATTTCATTATTCATTTTGTTACCAACTCCCCTCCCTCTACCGCACTGCAGTCCTTCCCATCTAGAATTCCCAACCCTTCCTCTCTAAGGGCGTGGTACATACAATCACGAACGGAGCACCGTTCGAATGGTCAAAACGGTGCAGAAATCTAGAGAATGGTTCTGGCTTGTTCCAGATAGATAATCATGTGGTACAGTGTGGTCGAGTCACATGATTGGAAATTCGTGATCGTATGTACCACGCCCTAATGTGCTCCAAGCTTCTCACACAAACACCTCCCCGTCAATTAGGCCAACCACAAACTGCCGCTTGCCATTCCCGCGTGCCATTTCAGCAAGAGAAACCGAGCATTTAACTTACCCTTTTTCTATTTTCACTAAGTTCAGGGCCCGCGCCCATGTCCATTCCCCCCCCTTGCTGGTGAAATTAATCGATGCGAAAAAAACGCACACGATATAAAAGTATCGCATATTGCACCCGAAAACCCGCGATGTAAAAGCGATATGACTTTATCACGCGATAAAATCACATCGCATTGCTGCGATATTATTCTGGAAAAGAACAATGTCGATATTGCATCTTTGCGATATATGCAATGCGATGCGATATAACCATCTCTAAATGTGGGAAGACGTGTTGTCAGGAGCCTCAAAACTCCAAGGCCAACTACCATGTCTGCGTTCTATGGTGTTCCCACGTTGTGTGTTCCTAATGTGGGGGTCGTGCATGGCGTTCCATGGTGTTCCCACATCGTGTGTTCCCACGTCGTGTGTTCCCACGTCGCATGTTCCCAAGTCGCGTACTCCCAAGTCGCGTGTTCCCACATCGTGTGTTCCCAAGTCGCGTGTTCCCACATCGTGTGTTCCCACGTCGCGTGTTCCCACATCGTGTGTTCCCAAGTTGCGTGTTCCCACATCGTGTGTTCCCACGTTGCGTGTTCCCACGTCGCGTGTTCCCACGTCGCGTGTTCCCACGTCGTGTGGTCCCACGTCATGTGGTCCCACTGCAGGGGACGTGTCCGGCGGTCCATGGTCTTCCCACGTTGCACCGCAGCCCACCTCAAGTGCCCCTCCATGGACACTGCGGGAGGGGGTGTTGCTCCAGCACGTGTTGATGCACCTCACAACTAGGCTATCCCATCCCACCTCCCGCAATCCTTCTGGCGGAGAAGCGCCTGGCCCGCCATAGCCTGCCTCAAACACCCTTCATGGGCGTGTTGATGCGCCTCACAAACAGACTATCCCATTCCCACCCCCCTCTCGTCCCCACCTCCTGCGTTCCTTCAGGCAGATAAGTGCCTCACTTCAGGCTCCATAGCCCGCCTCAAGCACCCCTCCATCGACGCCCCAGAAAGTGTGCTGCAGCGCATGGCACAGCTGGCACTTGACTGCACGGGGGCTCGCACGGCCAGCCGGCCAAGCATGGGGGATGTCGCCTATGAGCTGCAGGCTGTCAGGAATGAGGTGGCGGGGAGGCGTGAACTGAGCGTTGCAGTGAAGGTGGATGCGGAGGTGCGAGAGAGGAGCAGCATGGCTGAAGGCACTTCCAGCTTGGAGACAGAACTGCGAGTGATTAACACCCTTGTGGGGTAACTTTTGAGTCGAATCAGAATTCATCTTTGAGTCGAGTGAAGGGGTGCGAGGGAGGAGCTGTGTGGCTCGAGGTTCTTCGAGCCTGGCGGCGGGATGGCAATTGATCAGCACCCTTGTTGAGTAAGGTGTCTCGGAGTCTGACCCCACAGAGTCCCACCCCACAGAATCCCTACAGATCCTCCCATGAAGTCGGCAGAGAGTCCCCTGCGCAGAGTTCCCTCTCAGAGTTCCCCCCAGATTCTCCCAGACTCCCCCACAGACCACTACCTTGTAGTTTGCTGCGGTGTAAAATATGAGCTTCCAGACTGCTGTGGGGATCCTCCTTTTCAGGGAAATTTGCATCTTGGTCTGATTTTCGGAAGTGTTGTTCGGTGTGCATGTGATTTAATGGATATAAAAATCATATTGGTGGAGTTATGTCACAATAGTTTTCGAGTAAAGCCTCACTAGTGTGCTATCGTGAATTGGTTAACCCCGTACAGCCTGTACAGGGTACATCTGCTGATGTGCCTGGCGAGCTCCTGGCCACCCTGGTGCCAAATCTCGCAATTTCTTCTGCACAGTAACCATTCCGTCTACCCTCACCGCACCACCGTAACGTACTGAAAAGTACCTAACCCAAACTATCCTTCCCCATGACCTCAGAGGCTCACTTCCAACGGAAATACTGCATCGCATGGCACCACCAATGAACATTATGGGAGAGCTATCAGTGAGAATTCGCTGGACTGACAGGGTTTCTCAACTGGCTGAATCACCTGGACACGGCTGGAGTACCCAAATCATGCACTAAGGCTGAGGACACCAGATTTTTTACGGGCGAGCATTTTGCTGAGCAAAGCGGGCTTTTTGGCACGCGAGCTGCGAGACCAGCCAGCTTAGGCTAAATTGTTGCTTTTCTTCCCTTTTACATTAGTAGATTTACGGAATACAAATTTCCCAGCAGGTGTTGGTTGTCTTCCGTGACATAAGAGATTGGATCTGGCAATGACGTTCGGGAGGATGCAAGATGTGCACTCTCGGAATCAGAGATTTCCGAGCACCTTCCCGTCGCATCGCCCGTGTGAGGCATCGCACCAGCAAGGCCTAAATCGTCCATTCGCCTCGATCGACGCTCACGCGGCTTCCGCACGAGCCAGTTTCCATGGTCAGGCTCAGCACATTCAGAATCAAGCAGCTCCAGCTCCAATTCATCATAATGTGATGTACAATGACGACCTCCCGCGACAACTGTCTGACGTCCGAAGATCGCAGCAGCTGCAGAAGGTTCGCGAAGCAGCACGAAATCGGACGTGCAGCCAAGGCAGCACGGTCCATCATCAGTCAATACCCGTACAGCAAGGACAGCATCTGACGCACCAGCACGAGATTTCACGGAAATCGGACCTCGCCAGAGCACCAGAACTCGACGGAAAAACTCCGAAATCGGCCGGATCCAATGGAGCGCGCTTTCGTTCAGCGAGTCATGCTGGGCCCTCAGCTGCTGGCCTGTCAGCTGCTGATCGTCCTCGGAGCCTTCTTTCGCGAGATGAAGCAGCTGTTTTGATTCAGGCAGCGTGGAGGGGTCACCAGGTGCGAGCGACGAAGCCTCTGGAAGTGGGTAAAACGATCTTAGAGCTTCGAAAGCTGGCTCGGGACATGGAAGAGAGGCTCGGTGATAAGGAATTCGTGGCCAAGGTTGTCTCCGACCCTCGCGAGAAGGTCCGGGCGACGGAGACGATCATGTGCTGGCTGCTTCGGCTGGACGAGGTGCAGTCGCCGAACCAAGAGGTTCGGAATCTGAGAAGAGACATGGCTCGGAGACTGAACAAGCTTCTGGACGAAGTGGAATCGCTGGGAGCTGTTAAAGAAGCAGCCTCAAACACGAATGACACGAGAAGTGTCACATCTGGTGATGCAGCCCCTGGGAGTTTTATGCTATTATCTCGAAGGCATGTCAAAGATGCCGACACTGCATCTGGACTGTCAATGGAAAGTCATGTCAGATCTGGCGACACTGCATACGACACTGCATCTGCAAATACCTTTCAAGATTTGGGTCAGAGTCAGGGAGCCTCTCACAGTGCTACGGACAGGGATATTGCCGGGGCAGTTTCTGCTCTTTCACCAGATTCAAGCATCAAGGCAGGCGGGTTCAAGCGCAAGAGCATTGGGAACAGTACCGGTGCTGGTGGTGGTGGGAAGGCTGAGAGGGGGGCTGGTGATGAGGAGCGTAGGTCCCCCAACCCCAAGAGGAGGAGGAGGAGGGCCTGGAGAGACGTGCTGTGGCGGTGGAGGGAGAGCCTGGGTGGTCTCTGTGGTGGGAGGGAGAAGAGTAGATAAGTGTTAGCAGGCTAACTGAAATGGGGGGTTTGGTGATGAGGGTATGACGGCCAAGAGGAGGAAGAAGAGGGCCTGGAGAGATGTGATGTTGCGGTGATAGCGTGGACAGATGGACAGGACAGTGTGCTGTGCTGCTGACTGAATTGTCAAAAAAGCATAATGATGCTCAACATGCTCCTTTGCTTCGTTACCGTTGGTTGGTTCACATTTCACACATCCTATCCGACGTGTTGACTGAGACTGAAACCATTCAGACGGATCATTGATATTGACCAACATTGCGTCAGTGAAAGCAAGTCACGTCTGATACCGGTAGCTTCATTCATACAACAAAGAATCCTTCACATGACGAGGTCAACTGTCAAGTCAGTCAGTTGGGACTCGGGACTTGCATGGGCTGCAGGGGGGGTGGTGGCAGCAGCCGAATGAGAGCATTGTACATGAACTGAATGTAAACGTCTATGGGCCCCGGGAAGCAGTAATGCAAGCAGTCTGTTTTATTCCTATTAGGCATGAACCCATTATGCCCATCTGCTCTCAGCCCCACCGCCTCCTCCACGTCCAAATACACCCCCCCAACCTGCTCCACCAGCTCTTTAGCCGCCCGATTTTGCTTGGGGAATTCACCCCAGTTAAATGGCAGACTGCCCGTTTCTTGCCGCTTTTCCAGTGGCCGATCGTAATCTTCACAATCCTTGTGCCCCGGCGGCGTGTTCCTGTAGATAACGAGCTTATCTGGGTAATTATATCGTATAAACCGCAGAGCGTTTTGTACGCCGGAAGTGAATTGAGGTGTAGGAGTCCAGTGGGGGCCTCTGTTTAAAACGATGACGTCTGCAGAGGGGATATCAGCAACACCGGGTTGAGCCCACGGCATGTGGTCGAATATAGCCCCCTTGGAGTCAAATATTGATAAGTGGTCATTGCGAATAAAGTCCAGCTTAAAGCCTGGGCAGACAGAAGAGTTGAAAGTGTACCTGAGGGGATGGGAGGGGAGGGAAACAGAAGGGGATAGAGCACACACAAGGCGTCACCCAAGGCGTCCACATATACTTTCGGCCGCTCCTCAACTGTCTCCATGTCCCGTGCCGGCGTCTTCAACCCCTGTGCCATGAGATTCAGAAACACCGGACCCATCTGGCACATCTCACTACGGCGCCGAACTTCAGAAACGCATCCTAACACATCTGGTGCTGCTTGGAGGCTCCAACCACCAGATAGGCGGCCCTAAACTTCAGGAAACACCACTCACCATTGGCAGAACTCGTGTCCCATTTTGGCCGTGCTCCCTCCCAGGGCGTCCACACACTGCTTCGGCCGCTCCTCCACTGCGACCATGTCCCGAGCCGGCTTCTTCAGTCCCCACGCCATGAGATTCAAGAACGCCTGAACCATCTGGTACTGCTTCGAGTCTCCGATGATCAGAATCCGTCTGCCTCGGCCCACCCGCTCACAGAACACAGATGCGTTAAACGGCAGCCAGGGGTCCGTCAAATCTATTGCTGCTGCCGCCGCCGCCGCTTCTGCTGCTCTTCTTGCCTCTGCTGCTGCTCTTGCTGTGGCTCTCACTGCTTTCACTGCTTCTCCTCCTTCTCCTCCGTCTTCTCCCTCACCCCCTTCCCTTTCCCCTTCCCCATCTCCTCTACTTCCGACCTTCTCCTTCCCCTGAGCCTGTGCGACCTTCTCCCTCTCCCTAGCCGCCTCAACCCGCACCTTAGCCATCCCCTCGAAGGCTTTAATCTCCTCAGGCACATCAGGCGCCTGGCAAGTGCTGCGCCCCACTACCCACTCGTACTTAATCCCCTCCCGCACCGTCCACCCCTCCTCCGTTGCCCCAGGCCTCACTGCATATGCATCCGCAACACTAGCATATGCCATATTGGTAGAATCTAAGCTTAAGTGTCTGTTGTCGCAGTAGTTGCTCACTCCTCGGTAATCCCAAGGGAGGGTTCGGGGTTTCAGGTTTTGGACCCACTTGCCGTTTTTCGCCACGCATGCCGCCAATTCCTTCCATTTTTTCACCTGCCCCTCCCCGTGAATCAGAGAACCTGGTATGGAGTTTCTCCTGAGGGCAGCTCGTTCTGCCCGGCTGCCTCTGGGCAGCGCTGGGCTGAAGAAAACTTCCGTCGAGAGGGACTGCATGATGAGGGTGAGTGCCAGCCGGTCGCAGACAAGTTTTTTGGGCTGCCCGGAAACGTTTACGAGCTTGCAGAAGAGAGTGTGGTGGCGGAGGGAGAGGGAGTGAGAGAGAGTGCGGAGAGAGGAGGAGGGATGGTCGGCGGGTTGCAGCTCGAGGACGACAGCAGCAGGCGGCAGGAAGAGAATGAAGTCAAGAGCCTCGCCTGGTGGGGCGATGAGGAGCAGCGTGCGGCTGAAGAGAGCCCTGGCTGGTGATTGAGGAGGGGGGGGGGGGAAGAAAGAAAACGGGAGGACGAGGGTGGGAATAGGTTAGGGGAAAAGAGAGGCAGGAAGAGAGTTAAGTCTAGGGCCTCGCCTAGTAGGGCGATGAGGAGGAGAGTGCGGCTGAAGAGAACCCTGGCTGGAGGGGAGAGGGGGGAGGAATAGCAGGAAGAGATAGTATGCAAAACCATGAGAAAGGGCCTCGCCTGGTGAGGTGATGAGGAGGAGAGTGCAGCTGAAGAGAGCCCTGGCTGGTGATTGAGGACATGGAGAAAGAGAAAAGGGGAGTCTATTTTTCAGGTGACTTTTGAGTCGACTCTTGAGTGACTTTTGAGTCGACTCAAAAGTCACCTCGTTACAATGTCACACAACACTTTCGCTTCAAGGAGAGCCCTGGCTGGTGATTGCGGACATGGAGAAAGAGAAAAGGGGAGTCTATTTTTGAGGCGCCTCAAAGAAAGGGAAAAGGGGAAGTGGGGACATGGACAGCCATTAGCTTCTCACCCTTCGTGTTGTAGGTGATTTGATTCGTGAGCAGTCTCAAAAATCAGCTACAACACGAAGGGGTGAGGGGGAGGGTGTGAGAGATTTTTGTGAAACAGTCATTACCTTCTCACCTTCTTTCAACCCCCGTCGCCCCTTAGCAATTATTGCTTGGATAGACTCGATTCGATCGCTGCTGCAAGCCTCAGAACCAGCTCCGCCAACACACCACCCACCCACCCGTGCCACGCCTTCCCTCCTCGCTCATACACCTTGTATCCCCCATACATGGCCTAGGATATTTTCTGACTCAAATTCCTTCGAGTCAGCTCAAAAGTCACCTCCATACTCACACATGGCCGTTGATATCTTCAGACTCGAATTCCTTCAGCCTCATCCCCTCTCGCCAGGACACCACCCACCCACCCGTGCCACCAGTTGTCTTGGGTAATGCCATCCACCATCCCCTCACTCGCTCCCTTCCCTTGCTAAGACCCCTGCTCTCCTCATCTCATTCCCTCCCCTCTCACCTTCCTTGAGCGTCGTTCCTCCCTGGAAGTACACCACCCGCCCGTGCCACCAGTTGTCTTGGATTATGCCGTCCACCACCTCCTCCATCTTATCCAATAGCATCGCGCCAGGTGGCACCGCCACCACCACCACCCAATCCTCCCCCACAAGCTCCCTAACTCCCCCAAACCCATCACCCTCCGCCACGTCAGATGCCACATCAGCGGTGACAGGAGCGCCAGGTGGCGGGAGGGGGACAGGTGGCGGGTGCCTGAGCGTCCAGTTGGCGTGGAAGAGGGGGAGGCCCGAGGGGGGGAGGAGGTGGTGGGAGCGGAGGAAGGCGAGGAGGGAGGGGGAGGGGCGAGCGCACGGCTGGAAGGACGGCTGGGGGGGGAGAGGGGGGAGGCAGGATAGAGGGGCGTTAAAGTGGGAGGGTGAGGGATTAAGAAGAATGGGAGATGGGGAAAGGAAGGGGGGAGGCAAAGGGGGAGGGGAGGGAGGAAGAGGAGCGGGCTGGAACCATGACTGGGTGATCGAGGTGGTGCACGAGTGCCCGGCGTCCAGTTGGCGTGGAAGAGGGGGAGGCCCGAGGGGGGAGGAGGTGGTGGGAGCGGAGGAAGGCGAGGAGGGAGGGGGAGGGGCGAGCTCACGGCTGGAAGGACGGCGCGGGCGGGGGGGGAGGAAAAGAGGGGGGGATGGGGTTGGATGGGGGGAGAGGGAGAGGGGGAGCGGGAGAGGGGAGGGGAGGGGCATTTGAAGTGGGAGGCGACTGCAGCTGGGGGTCCAGGGAAGGAGGGCAGCGGCTGCAGTGCTGGAAGTATGGTTGGCGGAAGGGGGGAGGAGGGGGGGGGGGGGGGGGGTGGGGGGTGGGAGGGGGCGAAGAGGGTTCGCGGAAGGGAGAACTGGGTCATCGGAATCGATGTTAGCTGAAATGCTTCCTGAATCAATCTCATCTGGTTTCTCATGTGAATGAGTGGCACTTGAGAGCTGAGTTCACCACAGCACCCAGAACAAACTCTCAGCTTGTCTGAGGCAAAAGCACCTGCAACACTATATCTCACCTGCAACACTATATCTCACCTGCAACACTATATAACTCACAGATATCCAAATCATTCGTACCTGAATGAGCCTTTCAACGAAGAGCAAGTGGGTTGGTTTGTCTGGTTGTGGCAGCAGAGAGACTTGATGGGGCGGGGCTCCAAGGTAGTGTGGTGCCAGGACGTGCAGCCACTGGTGGTGGGGGTGGGGCCAGGAAGGGAAAGTTTTGAGGCGCCAGGAAGGGAAAGTTTTGAGGCGCCAGGAAGGGAAAGTTTTGAGGCAACTCTGCTGGTGGTGGGGGTGGGGAAAGGTGGGCCAGGAAGGGAAACGGGGCAGGCACGCCAGGAAACAGAGAGCGTTGTGAGGGGGAGCACATAGGTAGTCATAGGTTTTCGATAATTCTAAAACAACTATCGCAGCAGAGTTGTGAGTGGGAGCTCCTAGGTAGGTAGCGTGGCGCCAAGACGTGCAGCCAAGGGACAGAAAGAAAGGGAGGCAGAACGATGCGATGCAGGGGAGCTCAACGTAGTGGGATGCCTTTTGAGTCCACTCAAAATTCAGCTCGTTACAGTGTCACACCGAACTTTTGCTGCAATTAGATCAATTATCACATGGAGGCAGCCGAAGAGAGTGGGGAATTAAATAATTTCGGCTTGTAGGGGTTAGGGAGGCAGAGCGATGTGATGCAGGGGGGCTCAACGTAGTGGGGTGCCAAGTCGTGCAGCCGCTGGTGGAGTGGAAAAGAAAGGAGGAGTGGAAAGAGACAAGAAAGATCCTCGCTGGCACAACCATGAGAATCCTGCATGCTCCTCCTCGCTTCCAAGCATGTGCGTAGGGAAAAAAAACAGGAAACACAGGGAGGCCCCAAAACGTTTCTGTGCTATCTAGAAATTTGAGAATGAAACTTGGATAAAAAATGAAATTTAATCTCAACAAACATGGCCTCTCACCTTGCGATCTTGCACGAGGAATCGAGCACCATCCGACATCAGCTTCGGGAGGAGCGGGGCGAGGGGGAGGAAGAGAGGGAGGTGATGCACCAAGTGGTGGGAGAACGAGGCGCGGGGGGAAGGCGAGGAGGAGGAGGAGGAGGAGGAGGAGGAGGAGGAGGAGGAGGAGGAGGAGGAGGAGGAGGAGGAGGAGGAGGAGGAGGTGACAAAATTCGATTCAGAGGGAGGTGCGGCAAGGTTGATTGCAAGGGGATGGACGGTGATGGGTGTTTCTGCTGGGTATGTGAAGGGCTGAGCTGGCGTGCCACCCACATGCATGCAGGCACATGGTGGGTGGGGGAGGGGAGAGGAGGGGATGAGGAGGGGAAAAGGGGCAATTGGGAGGCATGAGTCGACTCAAAAATCGGCTCATTACACAAGGAGGGGGTGAGGGGGGTGGAAAAGGGGCAATTGGGAGGAAGGGCTGTGATGGGCTGAGCTGTGATGGGCTGAGCTGTGATGGGTGCTGACAGGTGTGAAGGGCTGACAGCTGGCATGGTCATTCCATCACCGATGCGTTCACACATGCATGCACCCATACGCATCGATGCATGCAACAACACACGCGTGCATGCGAGGCAAAATCCACATGTGTGAGTGCAGGGAAGATACACAGGTGACGAAAGGAAAGGAAACAAAATGAACGTGAATGTGTGCCATCAGGAGGAACCAGCAAAACACCATCTGGAAGATACCATTTCTTTTCACGTCACCAGGTCCTGTCCGTCCACAAACACGCTCTATCCATGATACCCCATCTCGCACTGACCTCATAGCAACCACGTCTCACCGCGCAGAACCGCATCTCACCTCGATGAGTGCTGCCCGCCCGCCTGCCGCAACCCCCCAGCCAGAACAGATGCGAGGTGTTGAAGATCCTCCCCCGCCCGTCCTAAAACACGCTCTATGCATGATACCCCATCTCCCACTGACCTCATAGCAACCACGTCTCACCGCGCAGAACCGCATCTCACCTCACTGAGTGCTGCCCGCATGCCGCACCCGCCCGGCCAGAAGAGGTGCGAGGCGTTGAAGACCCTCCCCCGCCCGTCCACAAACACGCCCCTCAGCTCCACCACCTGCCCCGCCCACCCCCTCCCCCCCCCATACCGCACCCCCCGCCCCCCTCCCTCCACTCCCACCTCCTCCGCTTCCTCCTCCCCTTCCCCCTCCCCCTCCCCCTCTTCCTCCCCCACTCCATCCCCTTTGGCAGCCTTCTCTTTCCCCTCTCCCGTCATGTTCTCCTCTATTTTCCCCCCGTCCCATGCCTTGAGCCCATCATCTTGAGAAGCAACGGCTAGAGAGCAGTTGGGAAGCACCACGACGCCTTGCAGGCTCTGCTGTGACCGAATGGGAGGGCATCTCAACCGCACTGCACCGCTTGGCGCCACGCTTTGCCGCTCCTCCAACCGTCTTCTAGTGGGCGTTTGAGACGCTGAGGGGCTCATGGCAGCTGCTCGTGGTGTTGTTGGTACTGCTGGCGTTGCTGGTGTCGCTAGTGTTGCTGCTGCTGCTGCTGCTGCTGCTGGTGTTGCTGGTGCTGCTGCTGGTGCTGCTGGCGTTGCTGCTACTGCTGCTGCTGCTGCTGCTGCTGCTGCGGCTGCTGCTGGTGCTGTTGGTGTTGTTTGAGTGGCATTGGCTTCTGACGTTATACGACCTTCCTCTGCCAGCATTGCTGGAGTGGCCTTGAATTCCGACGCCATACCCGCTCCCTCTCCATCTTCCTTCTTTTTTGAAGCCTTCTCCTTTTCGCGGTTCCCCTGCCCGTCCACAAATTCCGGGTTCCAGCACGCATCAATCCCCTGGCCACACCCAGAAAATTCAGGGCAAATCGCGCCTTTACACCCTAAATTCGGCAACGCCACCTTCTCCTTCCGTTTCTTCCCTCCCTTGTCGCCCACCTCATCGTCTATAATCACGTCTACTCCAGAAACGTCCGGGAAGAAACTGAGACTGATAGGTGCCAGCAGGCTGCGTGTGATTGGCTGCTCGAGGCGCCGGACCTCCCGCGATCTATGGCGGGCCAGCCCGCCGCTTCCAACGGCGTCTAGTGCGGCGGACGCGGCTAAGAAGATGGCAAATTGGAGGAAGAAGGCCGAGCGTACAGGCAGGAAAGCATGAAAGTTACGACGTCTAAGCATGGGGAAACGCGATTGGCCAAGATTCGTCGCAGCTCTAGATCGACGGTTGGATGTGTGCCAGGTCATGGCATTCAAACGAGCTTGGCCGAACGCTTTCATAGCGGCAGAGGCGTATTATCGTGAGAGGATCTACACGAATTTCCCCTTCTAAAGGCATTTCGTGGATTTATTTCTCGCGGCTCTCAATAAAGCGACGACACTCAAGGTTACTCATAGCTCCAGCTCGGGCTACCTGAATGGGGCATCACTGTTGAATGGGGCTCTGAGCAAAAGAAGCGGGTATGCAAGCTGGAAACTAGCTAGGTTCGCCATTGCTACCTACCAACCAACAGAATTCCGTGTGTCGAAGTCGGCTGGTCAGGGCGTGAATCAGGTGATCAGAAATTGATGTCCCAAGACGGATACGGAGCGTTGCAGTACGGTGCTGTATTGAAGCAAAGCGTTGCAGAGGTTTAACGTCACTTTCACATGAACTAAACCAGTGCAGAACTTCGGGCGAACTACAATCCGATCGAAGTACACCAGTGTACTTCGATCAAAGGTGTCATTGAAGCGTATAACGAGTATCTGATAACGCGTATGATCTCTGTTGGTGCTGTCTGTCACATGCACCAACCAATACTCAGGATGATCTTGCCCAGGAGCTTGTCTCCTTTCAAAAACCTACCCAACCATTCTCGATGGATTCCGAAATTCTCTAGAACGCAAAGCACCGTACTTCACCGCAACAGAGTGAACTCGTCTATGTAACTGCCACTGAAATGTCGGTTGGGAGGGAGGCTCCATCCATCTCCCATCAGTCATCAATTCTTTCTCCATCACTGATGGCTGGGGACACCATTACTTACTAACTACCATTACTAATACTGTAGCAGCACTATCTCAGGGCGACAATGAGAATGGCTCATTCCTTCTTAGTCGAACCGGTGCGAAGGGAGGTCTCTCAGGTCGAGTCGAGTCTCGCTGCGTCGTCACGTCAGTGCCCGAATGCGATCAATTCCAGCGTCAATATTTTGTTTGCCCCTTCTAGTTCATCCTAGCACAAATTAGTTTCACGTTCCGTGATAGTCCGCACCGCACTGCACTGCACTGCACCGCACGTGCTCTTGAGAGGTAACTTCCTGTCTCACGCTCTTCCTCTTGAGTCGCGTCAAGGCGTTTCCTCCGTATGCCTCAGATTCCCGGTCAATAGACTAGTTCGTTTCGGAGACCATGAGCTCCACGTGGCACACATCGGTTCGTCCATCTGCTGCCGCATCATCCGTCGACCAATCAGGTCCTCGATTACCTCGGCGTCGCTCGCTTCGGGCCGCCCTGCCTCTCCGCTCCGCTTTCCTCCTCCAATTCAGCGTCGCTCTCGTCGCAGTCGCCACTGTCGCATTCGCCGCGTCGTCGCCTGGAGATTTCCCGTCCCAGTCTTTACTACGCCGTGCGACAGAATCCGTCGCAGGCTTAGGCGGAGAAAATGGGGAGGGTACGGATCATTTGTCGCATGGATGGGAAAAGCTTTTCTCGTCGTCGCAGCTCCGCGAGCGGGCGACGCCTGTGCGACGATCCGAGCGACGATCTTTGGCAAGCGAATCGCTTCTGATCGCACAAGCAGAGCCCAGCGATTCCGTCGCACACGGCGGCGAAGAAATCGTCGGATTGGGTCGTCACAGATCGCGGGAGGTTCGGCGCCTTGAACAGCCAATCACACGCAGGCAGCTGGCTCCGATTAGCCTGAGTTACTTCTCCGAAGTTTCGGGAGTAGACGTGATTAGCGACGATGGAGGGAAGACGGGGAAGAAGCGGACGGAGCTGCCGAATTTAGGGTGTAAAGGCGCAATTTGCCCTGAATTTTCAGAGTGCGGGCAGGGGATTCAGGCGTGCTGGAACCCGGAATTCGTGGACGGGCAGGGGAATGATAGCGGGGAAAAAAGGGCAGCTAAGAGAAAGCTGCTGGGGTCAGAAAAACGGGCAGCATCTGAAACATTCAGATGCCCTGCGTTCAAGCCTTGGGAATGCATGATGGGCATGGTGGTTCTCCCCAACTGCTCCGTTGCTATATCTTCAGACGATGGGCTCCAGGCGTGGGAAGGGGAAGAGGAGGAGGGGGGGCAGGGAGGGGGGGAGGGGGAAGGAGAGGGGGAAGAGGAGGAGGAAGCGGAGGAGGTGGGGGTGGAGGGGGATGGGAGGGGGGTGCGGTATGGGGGGGGGAGGGGGTGGGCGGGGCAGGTGGTGGAGCTGAGGGGCGTGTTTGTGGACGGGCGGGGGAGGGTCTTCAACGCCTCGCACCTCTTCTGGCCGGGCGGGTGCGGCATGCGGGCAGCACTCAGTGAGGTGAGATGCGGTTCTGCGCGGTGAGACGTGGTTGCTATGAGGTCAGTCAGTGGGAGATGGGTATCATATCATGCAGTGAGGCAAAGAAGGGAATTCAAGGGCGGGCGGGCGTGTGTGGGCAGACATGAGTGGGTGGTTTTTTAGTCGACTCAAAAGCGGGAGTGTGTGGGTGGGAGTGTGTGGGTGGGAGTGTGTGGGCGGGAGTGTGTGGGTGGGAGTGAACACCACTTGGGTGCCACTTGAGTGTGTGGGTGGGAGTGTGTGGGTGGGAGTGTGTGGGTGGGAGTGTGTGGGTGGGAGTGTGTGGGTGGGAGTGTGTGGGTGGGAGTGAACACCACTTGGGTGCCACTTGAGTGTGTGGGTGGGAGTGAACACCACTTGGGTGCCACTTGAGTGTGTGGGTGGGAGTGGGACGAAGTGAATGGATGGTGCGATTGCCAGTCATTGTCCATCCAATCTCCCCGTCTGATGGTGTGAATGAATGCCAGTCATTGTCCATCCCCTTGCCGTCAACCTATTCGTACCCCCGCCCACCTCCCCTTTCCCACTCTCACTCTCACACCCACCCACCTCCCCCTTTCCCACTCCCACCCCCTACCCCCTCCCACCTCCCCCTTTCCCCCTTTCCCCCCCCCCGGTGCTCATGTGTATGTACCTGCACATGGGCGTCACGCCATAACTCCCCTTCCTCCCTGCCCCCCCCTTCCCCCCCTGTGCTCATGTGTATGTATAATGTACCTGCACATGGGCGTCACGCCAGCGCAGCCCTTCACGTACCCAGCATCAACGCCCGTCATCGTCCATCCCCTCCGCTTCCCCCCTCCGCTCTACCCCCTCCCGTGACCCGTCATCATCCATCCCCTAGCCGTCAACCCAGTTGCACTTCCTCCCTGCCCCCCCCTTCCCCCCCTGTGCACGTGTGCATGTACCTGCACATGGGTGTCACGCCAGCTCAGCCCTTCACATACCCCGCGTCAACGCCAGTCATCATCCATCCCCTCGCTGTCAACCTTGCAGTTCCGCCGCCCAACTCCGCTTTCCCCACCCCCTCCTCCTCCTCTTCCTCCTCCTCCTCCTCCTCCCTCCCCCACGCCCCTCTCGTCCACCATCTAGTGCATCAACTCCCTCTCTTCCTCCCCCTCGCTCCTTTCCTCCCGGAGTTAATCGCCAGCAATGCTCGGTTCCTTGTACAAGAGCACAAGGTGAGTGCTGGACCTCCTCTGCCTCCTCTTCTCTCCCTCGCGCCCCTCTCGTCCACCACTTGGTGCGCCAGCTCCCTCTCTTCCTCCCTCTCACTCCTTCTCTTCCTGAGTCGATCTCCAGCGAAGCCTGGTTTTTTTGTACATGAGTGCAAGGTGAGAAGCGGTGAGAGGCGAGCAGAGTCGGTTAGAAGAACTGGCAAGTGGTGAGAAGCGGTGGGACTGAGTCGAGAGAGGTGCTGAGGTGTGTGAGGCTGAGAGGGCTGCATGTCCTGGCGCCTAGGCGTGCTTCTTAGGTGTGCTTCCCTACAAGGCTCTCCCAACCCCTCTGCTTCATCTTCCCACAACCCCTCCCCCCCCCTCCCTCTCCCCCCTCCCTGGCTCTCGTGTGTTCATCCCCCGCCATTGGCTGCATGTCTCGGCGCCCCATTTCGTGGAAAACCATCTTCATCATACCATGTCTCTCTCCTGTCGTTCTTGCCCTTCCAACAATTGGCCCCTCCCCTTTTTCCTCCCACTCCCACCCACCAGTGGCTGCACGCCTTGGCGCCCCATTTCTTGGGGGGCCACCCCTACCACGCCTCTCTGCTGCCTCAACCCGACGAGCCCACCCACCTGCTGTTTGTCGAGAGGCTCATTCAGGTAGGTGGGTTGCATTCCATCACTTGTTATTCGGCTTATGAGAGGTACCTGTGTGTGCCGTTTCAATCCTGCCATCCCTACCGCGCCTCTCTGCTGCCTCAACCGGACGAGCCCACCCACCTGCTCTTTATCGAGAGGTTGATTCAGGTGGGTTCTGTTCCGTCTTGCTTATTAATCCGGGCTTATTTGGGTACGCAACCGAGGTGTCGTCTCAGTTGAGTCGTCTCTTCAAGGCTTCTCTGCTGCTGCTTCAGCTTGACGACGAGCCTGCCCACCCACCTGCTCGTTGTCAAGAGGTTGACTTTTGAGGCGCCTAAAAAATAGACTTCTCTGCTGCTGCCTCAGCCTGACAAGACTGCCCACCTGCTCTTTGTCAAGAGGCTGATTCAGGTGGGATGGGCTCCATTCCATTGTGCTTTCTATCCCGGGCTTATTCGGGTACGCAGCCGAGGTGTGTCATCGTCATCTCAACTCAGTCAAGTTGTCCCTCCAATGTCTCTTGCTGTCTCAATCTGACGAGCCCTGAGCCCTCCACCAACCTGTCTGTCATTGAGGCGCTACTCAAAAGTAGGTTGGTGCCTCATGGAAACCCACATGCGTCTACTTCCTCTCTCTCATGGAAACCCACATTCTCCCCACCTTTATCTCCTGTCCTCCCCACCCCCCCCCTTCTCTCCCCCTTTTCCCCTCTCCCCCTCCCTCCACCCCTCCCCCTCCCCCCAGCCAACCTTCCAGCCGTGCGCTCGCCCCTCCCCCTCTCTCCTCGCCTTCCTCCGCTCCCACCACCTCCTCCCCCCCTCGGGCCTCCCCCTCTTCCACGCCAACTGGACGCTCAGGCACCCGCCACCTGTCCCCCTCCCGCCCCCTGGCTCTCCCGTCACCGCTGACGTGGCAGCTGACGTGGCAGCTGCTGCAGAAGGGGCAGCTGCTGCTGATGTGGCGGAGGGTGATGGGTTTGCGGGGGTTAGGGAGCTTGTGGGGGAGGATTGGGTGGTGGTGGTGGCGGTGCCACCTGGCGCGATGCTATTGGATAAGATGGAGGAGGTGGTGGACGGCATAATCCAAGACAACTGGTGGCACGGGCGGGTGGTGTACTTCCAGGGAGGAATGGCGCTCAAGGAAGGTGAGCAGCTGAGGAATGAGGGAAGAAGGTGTATGAGCAAGGGAAGGGAACGATTGATGGGACAGTGGGTGGATGGCATCAGCCAAGACGGTGGGTGGATGGCATCAGCCAAGACGGTGGGTGGATGGCATCAGCCAAGACGGCGGCGGGTGGTGTGCTTCCAGGGAGGGATGGCGCTCAAGGAAGGTGAGAGGGAAGGGAGGGTGTGAGGAGATGGTGGATTTGAGTCGACTCAAAAGGGAAGGGAGGGTGTGAGGAGATGGTGGATTTGAGTCGACTCAAAAGGGAAGGGAGGGTGTGAGGAGATGGTGGATTTGAGTCGACTCAAAAGGGAAGGGAGGGTGTGAGGACGGAAGGGGGCATGGGGTTGAGTGAAGGAAGGTGAGTCAGAAAGTATCAAAGGCTGTGTGAGATAGAGGGCGGGCCTGGCAAGGAGGAAAGCAGGTGAAGGGTGCAAGGGGCAAGGGTGGTGTACTGGCGAGGGGGGATGGAAATGAAAGTAGGTGGGCGCGGAAGGGGGAAAGAGGGTGTGGAATGCCATAAGGAGCGGTATGGGGGGGTTGGGCGGATGCTGTATAGGCAAGGGCAAAAAAGCGACGTTTTTTTTTTTTTTTTTTTTTTTTTTTTCCATTTTTTCCCCGGTCTGTACGGTACCGAGGTTTTCAACCGTTTAAAACAGTGAAAAATGGTTGAAATGTCATTTTTTGGTCTCGTTTAAAAAATACGATCGTTTGTTATCGGTGATTTTTTTTAAGCCAAAATGATGTCGACATATATCGGGTATGCAAATTTGCGAGGCTGGTTTATGCCTGGCAAGAAACGAAGCGGGTTGTCGGGTCAACGTTTTCCCGAAGCGCGAAATGCCGAACTGTCAGATCGCGTTTCTCACTCAATTGACGAAGCCATTGCGAAGTGTACAGCAGTTCGCTAATGATCTGGTGTACAACTTCGTGCCCTACAGTTTTCGCAGACAGCGCGATACTGTACTCGCAGTGCGTCAGCGACGCGATTGTCCCAACCCCAGTCTGCTGGCAGCCTGGCAGGCATCCCCACCTCCCTTTCTCCTCCCGAAACGTCTCTCTAACATTTTCCCAAACAGCTCACATACAAGCAACGCGCAACTTCAAACTTAGAACATTCCTGAAGCATGTGGACTCATTTCACAGCCGCTCTAGGTCGTCCAACTTAGAACTCAATGCCCTCGCGGCATCGACGGCTTGGCGTAGATAGGTCGGAGATCTGTAGATCCCATGACGGCCCTAGACCTCAGGAATAATGCCATGATACGTTTAAGTTAGAAGATGCGTTTTTAGTGATTTCGTTTTAAATAACGACGTTTTTTTCCCAAATTCACCGAAAAAAACGACCAGAGTATTCGGACCGTATAATACGGAAACCTTTTCTTTGCGCCTTGTGTATTGGTGAGGGGGGAGGGCGATGAAAGAAGGCGAGAAGCTAATTGATCAGGAGAAGGGGGTGCTTTATCAGCTTCCCAGTGGAAAGGAGAGCGAGGAAAAATTCAGTGGGATGAGAAGAAGTTTTGAGGCGCCTCAAAACCAGACTCCTATCACGCGGTTCTTCCCAGTGGAAAGGAGAGCGAGAATGAATTAGTGGGATGGAGAAAGGAATGAGTGATGCAAGAAGGTGAGAAGATAGTTGATCAGATTAGGACAAAGGGGGTATCTATCAGCATCAGCAAAGAAAGGGAGTGAGTGATGCAAGAGGGAAGTGGGATGCGAGTGAAGGAAGATGGAAAAACGAATCCGTCAATAGAGAGGATGAGGGAATTGTGGGATGCAGGAGGAATGGCTGTTAAGGGAGGGAGGAAATAATGACTGGAGTCGATGAGTATGCGAAAGGGGAATTTTTTAGTCGACTCAAAAATCACCTATGGAGTCGATGAGTATGCGAAAGGGGAATTTTTGAGTCGACTCAAAAATCACCTATGGAGTCGATGAGTATGCGAAAGGGGAATTTTTTAGTCGACTCAAAAATCACCTATGGAGTCGATGAGTATGCGAAAGGGGAATTTTTGAGTCGACTCAAAAATCACCTATGGAGTCGATGAGTATGCGAAAGGGGAATTTTTTAGTCGACTAAAAAATCACCTATGGAGTCGATGAGTATGCGAAAGGGGAATTTTTGAGGCGCCTCAAAAAGGACAAGTGGAAATAATAAAGCAAAGTGGCGGCAAAGTGTGGATGTTCAAAATAATAAAGCTCAACTAGCTAGGCAAAGGACAAGTGGAATGGAGGCAACTGTGCGTGAGGCTGCCAGAAGCGAATTGCAGTGTTTGCCTTAAACTTCATCAGCCCTTCTTTGCATTGTACAAGAATTCAATGTGCCAACCATGTGAAACGATTTTTGAGGCGCCTCAAATATTGTTCCAGCCACGTGAAAGAAACCTGCTAGCTGGCACATGCGATGCGATGCGATGCGATGCGATGCGATGCAATGGGGTGCGATGCGATGGGGTGCAAGAAGGTATTTTCCTGCATGCACTGCAAGGGCGAGCTGGTGAAGGTGGTATTTTTCGCTCATTGTGATGAGTCGGCTTTGAGGCACATCTGAAGTGCCCTTCAGGGAAGAGCTGATGATATTTGAAGGTGATATTTCAATTCGTTGATTGCTGTCTTGACACACGTTTGCCACACTCTGCACTTTAGAAAATGTTTGAATGAGAGCACTCTCATTCAAACACCTCTCATGAGAACACTATATTGACGCTTTAGAAAATCGTGAGGGACAAAATGTTTGAATGATATCAACCCTCCTCTCCCTTCCCTAGGCTTGAAATTCTACTTTTTTTTCATTTCTTTTTCCCATATCACTTTTCCATTTCTTCTCCCATATGATAGAAGTCTAGTTTTGAGGCGCCTCAAAACTAGACTTCTATCACTGATCTTTTCTCCCAAAAAAAGACCAGCCAGGTTTTGAAACCCCACCTTTCGTTATCCCCCCTTCCCCTTTCCTCGTGCAGCACTCTGGCAATGGCTCTCTTCTCCTCTCGTGCTCTCCTCCTCGTCGCCCCACCAGGCGAGGCCCTTGACTTCATTCTCATGGTTTCAACCCACCTATCTCCTCCTGTTGTCCCTCCCCTCTCTCCCTTCCAACTAAGGATGAGCAAAACCGGGTAAATACCCGACCCGACCCAGTTTTGCCATACCCGACCTCGGGTCGGGTATTTTCGGGTCGGGTCCGGGTCGGGTAATACCCCCAGGACCATTACCCGGATCCAGCCCTTAATGGCGGGTAATATAATACCCGCGAGGCGGATCCGGGTATACCCGACCCGTTTAAGGCTAAAAGCGGGTATTGCTACCCGCCCATGAAAAATTGCCGGAACAACCTCTGTTTTACCCTCTGTTGCCATTGGTCTGTGTAGAAAAGTAGATTTGATGTGCATAGCTGTAAGATGCACAAGTTGGAGATGGTAAAGATAGGTTCCAAGAGGAGCCTTAAAAAGTGTAAGACAAAAAAGTAAATAAAGATGACAAAGACATTAGGCTAAGTAGGCCCAGATTGTGAAGAAGAGAGCGATGGAGAAGCGCTGGGCGACTTGGGCTGGTCCAGGTGAGGAGAATAGCACCCAAGAGGCTTGGGGTGCCCAATTGGGTGCTCAAGTCGCCCATAGTCAAGGTGGGGACGTGAGGAATCCTCAAAGTGGGCCTGGAAGCGCCCCCACTAGTGGAACCGCGATTCCACAAGTTGGATTCGTGGTTCCACAAGCTGGAACCGCGTTTTCATGGTTGAGAAACGTGGGTCCAGGTTGGAGTCGCGTCCCAAATGTTGGGATGCGTGGTGAGGTACCCCAATTCGGATTTTGGGGTGCCTAGCCTCTGATAAAATCACTTGGGGGCACCCTATTCCTAATATGACCCAACCACTAATGTCTACACCTAATATAATGTAACACATTACACATAACAGAGAAATGTACTAAGTTGACTACATCCCAGATAAAAGCCTAAAACAGATCCTCAACAACAGTCTGTTTGTCATGGTGGCACCCCGGGGTGGGCGTCGACAGCGTGGCCTTTAAAAAACAACCTAAACCGGGTCGAGTAGCGTTTTTGCCAGCATGCGAGGGGCGGTACCCGAAGTCGGGTATTCAATACCCGGCGGGTCGGGTACCCGTTACCTGACATGTCGGGTAACATTTCGGGTAACTGGTATCGAATACCCGCCCGGGTAACCCGGAACCGACCCGCCGGGTAATATTCCGGAATCCTGATACCCGACCGGCCCTAAAAGCGGATCCGGGTCCGGGTACCCGCCCCGCCCGGGTATTTTGCTCAACCCTACTTCCAACCACAGTTTCTCTCCCCTTCCCCTCTGCACCCCCTCTTGCTCCCCACCAACCCCTCTCCCCTCTCCTTGCACCCTCCTCAATCACCAGCCAGGGCTCTCTTCAGCCGCACTCTCCTCCTCATCACCTCACCAGGCGAGGCCCTTTCTCATGGTTTCGCATACTATCTTTTCCTGCTATTCCTCCCCCCTCTCCCCTCCAGCCAGGGTTCTCTTCAGCCGCACTCTCCTCCTCATCTCCCTACTAGGCGAGGCCCTAGACTTAACTCTCTTCCTGCCTCTCTTTTCCCCTAACCTATTCCCACCCTCGTCCTCCCGTTTTCTTTCTTCCCCCCCCCCCTCCTCAATCACCAGCCAGGGCTCTCTTCAGCCGCACGCTGCTCCTCATCGCCCCACCAGGCGAGGCTCTTGACTTCATTCTCTTCCTGCCGCCTGCTGCTGTCGTCCTCGAGCTGCAACCCGCCGACCATCCCTCCTCCTCTCTCCGCACTCTCTCGCACTCCCTCTCCCTCCGCCACCACACTCTCTTCTGCAAGTACCGGAACCTTCCTGGGCAGCCCGAAAATCTCCTCTGCGGCAGCCTTGGGCTGACCCTCATCATGCAGGTTCTCTCAACCGAAGTTTTCTTCAGCCCGGCGCTGCCCGGGGGCAGCCGGGCAGAACGGGCTTCCCTGCGAACAAGCTCCATCCCAGGGTCTCTAGTCCACGGGCAGGGGCAGGTGAAAAAGTGGCGAGAGTGGGCGACGTGCGTCGGCAACAAGGGCAAGTGGGTCCGAATTCCGAAACCCCGCACTCTCCCCTGGGATTACCGGGGAGTGAGCAACATGTGCGATCGCCGGTACTTAGACTCTCACCCTACCGGCATGGCATATGCCCGTGTTGCTGACGCATATGCGATGGGACCTGGGGCGACGGAGGAGGGGTGGACGGTGCGGGAGGGGCTTAAGTACGAGTGGGTGGTGAGCCGCAGCACGTGCCAGGCGCCTGATGTGCCTGAGGAGATTAAAGCCTTCGAGGGGACAGCTAAGGCGCGGCTTGAGGCGGCTAGGGAGAGGGAGAAGGTCGCACAGTCCCAGCTGGAAATGGCTGGGGAAGGGAGGGGAGATGCAGCCGTAGCAGCAGCAGAAGCAGCAAGAAGAGTGGCAGAAGCAGTGGCAGCAGCAGCAGCGGTGGACCTATCGGACCCCTGGTTACCATTCAACCCATCAGTGTTCTGTGAGCGGGTGGGGCGCGGCCGGCGCATTCTGGTGGTGGGGGACTCGAAGCAGTACCAGATGGTGGAATCATTCCTCAACCTCATGGCGTGGGGGAGGCAGAAGCCGGCATGGGACATGGTGGCTCTTGACGACCACCCCAAGCTATGTGTTGACATCTTGGAGAACGACCCTGTCAAGATGAGCCACGAGTTCTGCCAGTGGTGAGTCGCCTTAGAGTGAGTTGTGTGAGGTCGGTTGAAGTCATTCCTTCGCGTTATGGCATGGGATAGAAAGAAGCCAGCATGGGATGGAAAGGAGCCAGCATGGGACATGGTGGCACTTGAAGACCACCCCAAGATGTGTGTGGACGTGTTGGTAAACGACCCTGCCAAGATGAGCCACGAGCTCTGCCAGTGGTGGTGAGTCACCTTATAATGAGTCATGTGTCCTCCGTTGTCGTCTCTTCTGAACCTCATGGCATGGGTGGGTGGGTGGGGCCGGGAAGATCCCACTGGGCCTACTTCGACTGCATGCCATGGCTTCAACCCTTCCTCCCTCCCCCTTCCCCTTCCTTTTCCCCTCTGGTACACCTTCTGCCCTTCTTCTGCCCTTCTTTTAGCCCTTCTTCTGCCCTTCTTTTAGCCCTTCTTCTGCCCTTCTTTTAGCCCTTCTTCTGCCTCTTTGTGTAATGAGTCGATTTTGAGTCGACTCAAAAACCGTCAGCCCTTCTTCTGCCTCAAAAACCGTCAGCCCTTCTTCTGCCTGCTCTTTACACCTTGTGCCCGGACTCAACCCTCTTTGTCCTTCCACCCCCTTCCTTTCCCACTCTTCCCCCCTCTGTCCCCCTCTTTCCCCCTCTTTCCCCCTCTTTCCCCCTCTTTCCCCCTCTTTCCCCCTCTTTCCCCCTCTTTCCCCCTCTTTCCCCCTCTTTCCCCCTCTTTCCCCCTCTTTCCCCCTCTTTCCCCCTCTTTCCCCCTCTTTCCCCCTCTTTCCCCCTCTTTCCCCCTCTTTCCCCCTCTTTCCCCCTCTTTCCCCCTCTTTCCCCCTCTTTCCCCCTCTTTCCCCCTCTTTCCCCCTCTTTCCCCCTCTTTCCCCCTCTTTCCCCCTCTTTCCCCCTCTTTCCCCCTCTTTCCCCCTCTTTCCCCCTCTTTCCCCCTCTTTCCCCCTCTTTCCCCCTCTTTCCCCCTCTTTCCCCCTCTTCCCCCTCTTTCCCCCTCTTTCCCCCTCTTTCCCCCTCTTTCCCCCTCTTGTCCTCACACCCCACATACACCTTGTACTCTTTTGATTGCCCTGGCCTGAGGGTAGACTACCTTCAACTGTTTGACTCCCCATTTCCTTCCCCCTCCCTTTCCTTCCCCCTCCCTTTTCTCCTCCCTCCCCCTTACCCCGGGTACACAGTCAACTCTACTGTACTGCCTGCCCAGGACTCAGGATAGACTCTCTTCGCAGGGCCCAGGGCGCCAACTTTGACCACGTGCCGTGGGCTCAACCCAGGTGTACCCACATGCCCTATTTAGGGCCAGGTCCCAGCCCTATTTCCTCCTCTCCTCCCTTCCCTATTCTCCCATCTTCCCCCCCTCGTCTCCCCCTATTCCTGCATCTTACTTCCCAGGTTCACATTCAACTCTCAACTGCCTGCCCTGGACTCAGGATCGATTACCTTAGCAGCGACCCATTATAACTCTTTGACTCCCCCTTCCCTTCCCCCTCCCTTTCCTCCCCCCTCCCTTTTCTTCCCCCTCCCTCCCCCTTACTCCAGGTTCACATTCAACTCTACTGCCTGCCCGGGCCTCAGGATCGACTATCTTCGCAACGACCACATATCCATATTTGATTCCCGGGGACCCAACTTTGACCGCATGCCCTGGGCTCTACCCGGTGTGGCCGATATCCCCTCTGCAGACATCATCGTTTTAAACAGAGGCCAGCACTGGACCCCCACGCCTCTCTTTGTTTCGGGTGTACAAAACGCGCTGCGCTTTGTTCGATATAATTTCCCAGATAAGCTGATTATCTACAGGAACACTCCCCCGGGGCACAACGACTGCGAAAATTTCGACCACCCGTTGAAGAAGCGGCAGCCGACGGAGAGCCTACCATATTACTGGAGGGATTTACCCGAGCAAAATCGGCTGGCTAAAGAATTGGTGGAGCAGGTTGGGGGGGTGTATTTGGATGTGGAAGAAGCGGTGGGGCTGAGAGCGGATGGGCATCACGGGTTTGCTCCGGAGAGGAATAAGACTGATTGTTTGCATTACTGCTTTCCGGGAGGTGTAGATATTTACGCGCAGTCACTGTACAATGCGCTTTTACGACTACTGCCACCGCCACCTCCTTTAGAGTCATCTTGAGTTTTTTCATGGGGGCTGTTCAGACTAGCACTGACCAGCTGGACGGGTTGTCTGTCACGTACTCGAAGACCCCCTACGCACACTGTCGCACGAGTTCAGTTTAGCGGCTTATATCTTCGCACACTGTCGCACGAGTTCAAATAGCGGCTTATATCAACGTTGGTACTCATGTTGAGGGGTTTTTAGATTGTGTTCAATGTTCACGACATCGACTTCGCATGGATTGGGCCCAATTTTTTTTTATCACTTGTGGCCTATATCATGCTGTTTGTTTGGTATCAACAACGTTTGCAACGTTTGAGTGTTTGGTAAGAGTAGAACAATGTGAAAAATAACCTCAAGGTACGCAACCATAAATCGGATACTGCTATTTAGTTAAGGAACTAGTATGGAACGTCGCTAACTGTTACCAGAACACTGTAGTACCGGTAACTGTGCTTTCCCGAAAATTCCATAACCCTGCGAAATTCATCCCTTCGCAACCCGCCCTCGCACCAGCAATCTTCACTCTCCAGCCTGAACGGGCCCGAGTCACATAGCAGTGCGTCCCTAGGCTAGGGTGTTAGTTTTCCCGCGTCCGAAGCGCGAGTTAGCAGTTCAGCCATACCAAGATTGGGAATGCGGTAGTTAGTGCGCTCAGAATGGCTTTCTCACTTTCGACATATGGAGTGCAGTTTCACCTCTTCGTCCTCATCCTTTTTCTACTCCTCATTCTCAAAAGCGCACATGCGGGCTCCGTCCACGGTAGGCACAGCTTCTTATTGCATATATCTAGCCTTTTAAGCATACTTTCGACATATTTAAACTGAGTTACTCTATCAGCACAGTCTTATACCGAAAAAATGAGTTCCGGACGAATTCGAGGTGCCTGTTGTGTTACTCTACCAGCACTATCAACAGTATCGGCACTTTTTAAAACGAGTTACACTATCAGCACTATCACATACCTGTTTTCCGGGACCTGTTGGCGGTGCCTCTCGTGGAGGACCCGTCGACTCCAAGGTTGCTCTACCAGCAAAATCTCAGTCCGGTTTTCTTGGCCAGTTGACATATGAGTCGCATCAGAGACCACCTCTCTAATCACTATCATAGCCCAGTATTAGGTCCCAGGATTTCGTTTTCCAACTCTCCCTCTTCCTTTCCGGATCTAGCATTCGCATTCGCATTCGCATTCGCATTCGCATTCGCATTCGCATTCGCATTCGCTCAGACCATTCGCTCAGACCATTCTCCTGATACCTCCCCCGTTACACCCTTGCTGCCACCGGCACAGTCTTCTGATACCTCCTCCTCCCCCCCCCACCCTCCTCCCCCCCCCACCCCCTCCCCCCCCAATCCCCCCCCCGAACCCCCCCCCCGAACCCCCCCCCCACCCCCACGTATACCCCAGCTGCCGCTGTCTACATCCTGGCACCTCCCCCCTTTCTGGTTCCCCTTGTGCCCCCCCCCGCCCCCTTGTGGCCCACCCCCGCCCCCTTGTGCCCCCCCCGCCCCCTTGTGCCCCCCCCCCCGCCCCCTTGTGCCCCCCCCCGCACCCTTGTCGTTTCACCGTATCTCTCCATGCTCAGCAGCCTGGCCACAGTTCGCCTCGGTGCCGGACCTGGAGGCAACCATGTTCCACTTTGTAACGGTTTCCCAACCCCTTTCCCAACGTGCTCCTGGTGGCATGCCCACTCCCCGCTCTTTCCGTACCTCTCCAGGCTCGGCAGCCCATCCGCAGTTCGCCTCGGTGCCGGACCTGGAGGCAGCCATGTACGCAGAAGCTGAGAGCTGGCCGTGCGTGCGGCTGCTGTCAACAGAGGGGCCCATTGGGTGCGGAAGTGAGTCGGTCACAGTGCAGAGTAGGTTTTGTTCTCATTTTGTAACTTGAGGTTTGTAACTTGCGGCGTGTTTTAGGCAATGAGACAGCAAGAAAAGCCTGACAGCTTTGTATGTCGACGCCTAGAGCCGGCCATGCGTGAGGCGTCTGTCAGTGGATGGAAGGGCCTATTGGGTGCGGAATCGAGTGCTTCAGCGCCCTTTCTTTGCTCTTGAGTCGACTCAAAAGCAGGCGTCTGTCAGTGGACGGAAGGGCCTATTGGTTGCGGAATTGAGTGCTCCAGTGCCCGTTCTTTGTGCTCAAGGTGCACATTGAGTGTTCCATTGAGTGTTCTATTGAGTGTTCTATTGAGTGTTCTATTGAGTGTTCTATTGAGTGTTCTATTGAGTGTTCTATTAAGTGTTCTATTAAGTGTTCTATTAAGTGTTCTATTAAGTGTTCTATTGAGTATTCTATTGAGTGTTCTACCCTGCCCCTATTCAGTCCATCTCCTCTCCTCGCCCTCCCGATTCTCTCTCAAGACTACCAATAACGGACCTTGTTCCTCCCCCACCTACCCCCACCCAACATACCCCAGCAGAGGAATCGTGTCAGCCCCCGCTCAGGCCGTCTCTTCGCCCTCCCGGCTCTCTATTGAGCCTACTAGAGTTCTCCCTGATCTCCCCCACCCACCTCTCCCCCCACCCACCCCACCCATCCCAACACACCCCAGCAGAGGAATCTTGTCAGCCCCCATTCAGGCCGCCTCTTCGCCCTCCCAGCTCTCTCTCCAGTCTACGAAACAATCTCCCTGTTCTCCCCCTCCCACCTCTCTCCACTCCACCCAACCCAACCAGACCCAGGTAGAGAGGTCGTGTCAGCCCCCATCCAGGCCGTCTCCTCGCCCTCCCAACTCTCCCTCCTCAACTCGCCCCGGGCCCTCCTGGTCTCGTCAACCGTGCTCCACCCGGTGCTATCACTGTGAGCATAGGGGGGGGGGCATTGGTAGGATAGGGCAGAGGCATTGGGATAGTGCTATCACATATGCATTCCCAGCTCTCCCTTCTCAACTCAACTCGCCCTGGGTCTCCTGGTCTCGCCAGCCATGCTCCACTCCGTACTATCCCTGTGATGTGAGTCTGTGAGCATTGGGACGTTGGGCACTGAGCTCAGAACATCTTGACTTTTGAGTTGACTCAAAAGTCACCTCTGTGAGCATTGGGACGTTGGGTGCTGTGCTCAAAAGTCACCTCTGTGAGCATTGGGACGTTGGGCACTGAGCTCAGAACATCTTGCAGTGCGAGGCAGAGACATCGTCTGTCAGCCCATAAACAGGCCATCTCTTCTTCCTTCTCAACTCGCCCTGAGCCCTGTTGGTGTCGCCAGCCGTGCTCCACCCAGTGCTATCCCTGTGAGTCTGTGAGCATGGGGGTACTGTGGGTCCGTTCGGCCGAACCTAGCTCAGGGGAAACATCAGGTGTCATCTGGGGGATGACATGGCGCAGGAATATGCCCACAGGGATGAATGCCAAGTGCCGCAGGGACAGTGCGTGGCAGCCCCTGATCAGGCTATCGTTTCGCCCTTGCAACTCTCCTGCCTTAACTCGGCCCGTTTTCTCACATGCATGACGCATCCGTCTGTGGTTGCGTGTTTGCCGTGTCAGGATATCCAACGATCCAATCATTGCCAGCCACGTGGCAGGGATCATGGTGGAGGCTGCCAACCAGTCATCTGTTTCCGGTGAGACTCTCATACAGCCGTTCAAGCGTTGTACTCTTGATCACATGATTTCCATCGTGCCAACCAATCATCTGTTTCCGGTAAGATTCTTGACTTGAGTCACGGTGAGACTCCCATACTTTTGTTCTCAAGTGTTGTACACTTGATCATGTGATGTCCATCATGTTGGAGTCTGCCAACCAGTCATATATTTTCGGAAAGACTCTTCTCAGCAGTTCAATCAACCATAGTACACTGGACTTGATGGGTGATGTACATTGCTCTACCAGCTGATATGAAATTCCCAGTTGTGCTTTAAGCCATGCCACAGCACTTGCCTGCTATTCTACTTCCATCTACCTATCCCTCTTTCCTTCCCCTGGATGCCTCTGTTCCATTGCTCTCCCTTTCCCCCCCTCCCCCCCCACTTCCCCCAGTCCGCCTTTACCACGGTACCACCTATGCCACACACCCTACCCGTGGATCCCTCTTACTTCATCCCTTGACCACCTGCCATTGCCCCTCCATTGCCCCTCCATTGCCCCTCCATTGCCCCTCCATTGCCCCTCCATTCCCCCTCCATTGCACCTCCATTTCCCCTCCCTTCTTTCCCAGTTTCCGCTCCCCCGCCCCTTTTTTTGCAGCTCTCTCCCCCTCCTCCCCCTTCCCCCAGTCTCCCTGCGCCACCTACACCAACGCATCCTACCCCTGGAAGGAAGGAGCCATCCTGGCCGGCCCATCTCTTGACCGCCTGATGTTTTCCTGCCACTGCCGCTCGTTCCTGTCCGTGTTTCTGTTTCCTCGTCTCCTTTTGAGTCGACTCAAAAGCTGTCCGTGTTTCTGTTTCTGTTTCCTCGTCTCGATTCCCCTGTTTCTTCCTCCATCCCTTTGCCGCTCCAGCGCTCTCTCCTTCGTCTCCCTTCCCTCAGTCAGTCCGCCTTTGCCACCTACGCCAACACATCCTACCCCTGCAACGCCCTCGGCTCGTCCCTTGACTGCCACCATTCTCCCTGTTTCTGCTCCCCTTCCTCCCCCATTACCAGCGCTCTCCCCCTCCTCCCCCTTCCCCCAGGCGGCATTTGCCACCTACACTGTCAACTCGTCCTACCCCGCCCCGCCCCCCTTCCCCTCCCCTCTCCCCAACACCGCCTCCCATTACCAGCGCTCTCCCCCTCCTCCCCCTTCCCCCAGGCAACATTTGCCACCTACACTACACCAACACATCCTACCCCTGGATCCCCTCGGCTCGCCCCTTGCTGCCTCCATTCTCCCTTCCATTGCCCCTCCCCTCTGCCCCTGTTTTTGCTCCGCTTCTCCCCCCATCCCCAGCTCTCCCCCTCTTCCCCCTTCCCCCAGTCCGCCTTTGCCACCTACGCCAACACCTCCTACCCCTGGAACCCCCTCGGCTCACCTTGTCCCCCTGCCCGTTTGCCCTGCATCCCTCCCCTTCTTCCCCCATCCCCAGCGCTCTCCCCATCGTCCCCCTTCCCCCAGTCCGCCTTTGCCCCCTACGCCAACACGTCTTACCCCTGGAACCCCCTCGGCTCGTCCCTCGATCGCCTCGCGTTCTCCCTGCCTGTCTCCCTCCTTTCTGACCAAGCAACAGCTGATATTCGGATGGTGAGAATACTCCCCCTCTTCTTTCCACCCCACAACTCTCCCCCTCCCTCCCGCTCCACAGCAAGCTTACTTTATCGTTCCCCACTCCCTCCCTCCTGCCACTCTCTCCGATCAAGCCACAGCCACCATGCAAAATGCTCTTGCTCTAGATTTGAGCGCTACTCCCTACTTCCCCCTGAAAAATGCTCTACTCCACCCCCCCCCCCCCCCTCCCCGTCTCGGCTGGTCGTTTGACCACCTGCCATACCCCCTCCATCCCTCCCTCCCCTCCCTCCCTCCCTCCCCTCATCTCTCCTTAGCTCTGAACGAGCTACAGCCGCCATGACCATTGTGAGGATCTTTTATCTCTTCATCTCCCCTTACTTTCCCCCCCTAATCCCACACTTTCCCCCTCCTCCCATGCCCCTCTCCGTGTCCATCGCATGGTGGCATGGTGGGATGATGGCTTGATGGCATGATGGCATGATGGCATGGTGGCATGGTGGCATGATGGCTTGGTGGCATGGTGGCATGATGGCATGGAAGGATGATATGATGGCATGGTGGGATGATGGGATGGTGGCATGATGACATGATGGCATGGTGGCATGATGACATGTTGGCATGATGGCATATGTCGGCCAGAAAGCAGAGGCCAACAGTCAACGGAGCTTCAGCTATCCGCTTTACATGGCTGAGTTCGATGCCATCATGACAGTGAGTGCCCTGTGCTCATGACTTAGTGCCCTATGCTCATGGCTCTGTATGTGATGCGCCTCAACACCAGATGCCAACAGACAGCAGGGCTTCTGCCATCCGCTGTACATGGCTGAGTTCGATGCCATCATGACTGTGAGTGCCCTGTGCTCGTGGCTTCCCGCTATCATGGTTGGGTCAGAAAGCAGAAGCCAACAATCAGCGTGGCTTCAGCTATCCGCTCTACATGGCTGAGTTCGATTTTATGCCAACATGACTGTGAGATCCATTTTTTCATACAGCAGAGAGTGCCCTGTGCTGTGTTCTCCTACAAGCAGCCGCACAGTCTGCGGGGTTTCCACTATCCGCTCTACACAGTGAGGTCAGACCACAAGTTTTGGCGCATTCTCTCGTCTCAGTTTTGAGGCGCCTCAAAAATCCGCGTGATAGGAGTCTAGTTTTGAGGCGCCTCAAAATCCGCGTGATAGTCTAGTTTTGAGGCGCCTCAAAAATCCGCGTGATAGGGGGAGTCTAGTTTTGAGGTGCCTCAAAATCCGCGGGATTGGAGTCTAGTTTGAGGTGCCTCAAAATCCGCGTGATAGGAGTCTAGTTTTGAGGCGCCTCAAAAATCCGCGTGATAGGAGTCTAGTTTTGAGGCGCCTAAAAAATCCGCATGATAGGAGTCTAGTTTTGAGGCGCCTCAAAATCCGCGTGATAGGAGTCTAGTTTGAGGTGCCTCAAAAATCCGCGTGATAGGAGTCTAGTTTTGAGGTGCCTCAAAATTCCGCATGATAGGAGTTTAGTTTTGAGGCGCCTAAAAAATCCGCGTGATAGGAGTCTAGTTTTGAGGCGCCTCAAAATTCCGCGTGATAGGAGTTTAGTTTTGAGGTGCCTAAAAAATCCGCGTGATAGGAGTCTAGTTTTGAGGCGCCTCAAAAATCCGCGTGATAGGAGTCTAGTTTTGAGGCGCCTCAAAATCCGCGTGATAGGAGTCTAGTTTTGAGGCGCCTCAAAAATCTGCGTGATAGGAGTCTAGTTTTGAGGCGCCTCAAAATTGGTTTCCACTATCCGCTCTACACAGTCAGGTCAGACCACAAGCTTTGGCGCATTCTCTCGTCTCAAGCAAGCCGCTCAAGAGGAGTCAGCGCCGCGGGGCTTCCACTATCCGCTCTACACCGTCAGACCACAAGAATTTAGAATTCTCGTCTCAAGCAAGCCGCTCCTCGCATTGTCTCCCTCCCTCTCCCTCCCCCCCGCCACCACCACCAGACCACAAGGATCGGGGCATCCACGTCGCAAGCCTGCCTGGACAACCTTTCCTGCCTCCCTCTTGGCAGCTACAGGTGATCCTGCCTCCCCCCTTCACTTCCTTTCCTTCATCAGAAGGCGAGCATGTCCTCTTCCCCTTCGTCCTTCTTCTCATCCCTTCGTTTACTTGTCCTATCTGCTCACCCAGCCTCCCCACCCATCCCATCCGCTCCGGAAACTCATCTCAGTGTGATGGCGTCTCTACCACCCATCAACGTATCAAGAGGAGAAGCTTCCAGGAAGCCGCTGGTGGTAGCCATGGCCCAGATGGATGCCGCCTCTCTCTTCCGCGATGCTGCTGTTGGCGCTGAGTCTCCCATGTCGGTACGTGGCTCAAGCCCAAGGGCGGGCTGGCAGACTTGAGACTCGTGAGTCCAGTCCGGGTCAGCTCTTCCATCTTTTAGGCGTCTGAAAATTCCTTGGACATCTTCCAGTGAGCGCGGCGTCAGGAGACGGCGTCATCGATACGTGGCTCAAGCCCAAGGGCGGGCTGGCAGACTTGAGACTCGTGAGTCCAGTCCGGGTCAGCTCTTCCATCTTTTAGGTGCCTGAAAATTTGACTCCTGTTGTTGGTTGGTACGTGGCTCATGTCCAAGATTTGAATGGCAGATTCGTCATGAGTCCAACACATTTCTCCATCTGCCTGTATGCACATGCTTACTCTTAAGGTGCCTTTGCCTATCCCCCTCGCCCCCTCCCTCAGGGTCTCACTTGTTTGCGAGCAGCATCTGATCGGATGTCGTTGACCAAGTTTCCAGATCATGTTGTGTGGTTACCAATGCGCATAACCCCCTCTCCCCTCGCCCCCTCCCTCAGGGTCTCATCTCTCTGCTGGCAGCAGCGGACGCCATTGCATCTCTTCTCCAAAGGGCCTCCACTCCGGACCTTCCCAAGCAGGTAATCGCACACATGCACCTTTAGTGTAGCCGCGATTCGTTATAGTCGACACCGCTTACATTTTCCTTGTCTGCCACACATCTCCCCTCCTTCCTTCCCCCCTATCTCTTCCTTCCCAGTAGCTATTCCTAGATCTAACCTGCGAGCAGCGGGTGGGGCTTTCCTGGGATTGCATCCAACGCCTGCTGCTTGACTTGACTTGGAGAGGTTAGCCCTTGCTGGGGCTTCCCCCCTGTCTCCCTGCTCTCCCTGCTCGACTCCCCTTCTCTCTCCTGCAACTTGCCTTCCTCACTTTGAGTCGACTCAAAAGGTCCCCCAGTCTACAGTCTCCCTGCTCTTCCTTTTTCGCCTCCCCCTCTCTCTCTGTCAGCTTGTCTTCCTCACCCTCAACAGTAGGCAGTGGGGCTACCTGGGGTCCTGGCGCCTGCTGTTTGCGTGGAAAAGGCTCATCCTTCCCAGTCTCCCTCCCCTATCTTCTCCCTTTCTTTCTCCCTTTCCTTCCCCCTATCTTTCCTCTCAGCTCGTCTTCCTTGCTCTCAACAGCAAGCAGTGGGGCTACTTGGCTGGGATCCCGACGACTGCTGTTTGGGTTCATTCAAAGGTCTCCCGGTTCTTTCCGTCTCCCCCTTCCCCTTCCCCATTACTCCCCACCAGCTCATCTTCCTCGCTCTCAACGGCGAGCAGTGGGGCTTCCTGGGGTCCCGGCGCCTGCTCTTTGAGCTGGAGAAACTAGCCAAGGGGGAAGAGGGAGTAGGGAGAGAGGTGCTCCAAGGGCTGTCTCTAGACGACCTCACACAGGTACTTGTGTTAGTAGCAACTGGCAATGGGGCTACCTGGGGTCTCGACAATTGCTGTTCGAGCTGGACAAGCTCGCCAAGGGGGAGGGAGTAGGGAGAGAGGTGCTTCAAGGGCTGTCTCTAGACGACCTCACACAGGTACTTGTGTTAATAGCAACTGGCAGTGGGGCTACCTGGGGTCTCGACAATTGCTGTTCGAGCTGGACAAGCTCGCCAAGGGGGAGGGAGTAGGGAGAGAGGTGCTTCAAGGGCTGTCTCTAGACGACCTCACACAGGTACTTGTGTTAATAGCAACTGGCAGTGGGGCTACCTGGGGTCTCGACAATTGCTGTTCGAGCTGGACAAGCTCGCCAAGGGGGAGGGAGTAGGGAGAGAGGTGCTTCAAGGGCTGTCTCTAGACGACCTCACACAGGTACTTGTGTTAATAGCAACTGGCAGTGGGGCTACCTGGGGTCTCGACAATTGCTGTTCGAGCTGGACAAGCTCGCCAAGGGGGAGGGAGTAGGGAGAGAGGTGCTTCAAGGGCTGTCTCTAGACGACCTCACACAGGTACTTGTGTTAATAGCAACTGGCAGTGGGGCTACCTGGGGTCTCGACAATTGCTGTTCGAGCTGGACAAGCTCGCCAAGGGGGAGGGAGTAGGGAGAGAGGTGCTTCAAGGGCTGTCTCTAGACGACCTCACACAGGTACTTGTGTTAATAGCAACTGGCAGTGGGGCTACCTGGGGTCTCGACAATTGCTGTTCGAGCTGGACAAGCTCGCCAAGGGGGAGGGAGTAGGGAGAGAGGTGCTTCAAGGGCTGTCTCTAGACGACCTCACACAGGTACTTGTGTTAATAGCAACTGGCAGTGGGGCTACCTGGGGTCTCGACAATTGCTGTTCGAGCTGGACAAGCTCGCCAAGGGGGAGGGAGTAGGGAGAGAGGTGCTTCAAGGGCTGTCTCTAGACGACCTCACACAGGTACTTGTGTTAATAGCAACTGGCAGTGGGGCTACCTGGGGTCTCGACAATTGCTGTTCGAGCTGGACAAGCTCGCCAAGGGGGAGGGAGTAGGGAGAGAGGTGCTTCAAGGGCTGTCTCTAGACGACCTCACACAGGTACTTGTGTTAATAGCAACTGGCAGTGGGGCTACCTGGGGTCTCGACAATTGCTGTTCGAGCTGGACAAGCTCGCCAAGGGGGAGGGAGTAGGGAGAGAGGTGCTTCAAGGGCTGTCTCTAGACGACCTCACACAGGTACTTGTGTTAATAGCAACTGGCAGTGGGGCTACCTGGGGTCTCGACAATTGCTGTTCGAGCTGGACAAGCTCGCCAAGGGGGAGGGAGTAGGGAGAGAGGTGCTTCAAGGGCTGTCTCTAGACGACCTCACACAGGTACTTGTGTTAATAGCAACTGGCAGTGGGGCTACCTGGGGTCTCGACAATTGCTGTTTGAGCTGGACAAGCTCGCCAAGGGGGAGGGAGTAGGGAGAGAGGTGCTTCAAGGGCTGTCTCTAGACGACCTCACTCGGGTACCTGAGGGGTGATATCTAGTGAGGCAGTGGGGCAGTGGGCCTATCCGGGGTTCTCAACGGCCCCTAATTGAGCTGGAGAAATCAGCCGAGGGCGAAGAGGGGACAGGGAGGAATGGGGCACCCTGGCCACTCAGGTACTTTGCTTTTGGTATTCTTGACTACCATCATGCTTGCCCCACCAATGTTTTGGCTGTTGCCCCCACCCAACCTCCCAGTTTCTTCCGAGTTTCGCCACTTCTCCACTTCTGATGTTTCGCCATTCGTCTTTGCTTGCCCCCTCCTTCCGTGCTTTCTCCTTTAGGCGCAGATACTGGAGGTGGGACCGATGGGGATGGCAGCAGCGGATGAGACGCTCTTAAGCACCGCTGCTCCCATTGCTCCCCCACCATTGTTTTTGCAGGGTGTTTTTGAGAATTCTAAAAAACATTGCAGGGTTGTTTTTGAGAATTCTCAAAAACACCCTGCAAAATCGATGGGGATGGCAGCAGCGGATCAGACGCGCTGATGCACCATTGCTCCCATTGCTCCCCCACCATTGTTTTTGCAGGGTGTTTTTGAGAATTCTCAAAAACATTGCAGGGTGTTTTTGAGAATTCTCAAAAACACCCTGCAAAATCGATGGGGATGGCAGCAGCAGATCAGACGTGCTGAAGCACCGTTGCTCCCATTGCTCCCCCACCATTGTTTTTGCAGGGTGTTTTTGAGAATTCTCAAAAACACCCTGCAAAATCGATGGGGATGGCAGCAGCGGATCAGACGCGCTGAAGCACCGTTGCTCCCATTGCTCCCCCACCATTCTTTTTGCAGGGTGTTTTTAGAATTCTCAAAAACACCCTGCAAAATCGATGGGGATGGCAGCGGCGGATCAGACGCGCTGAAGCACCGTTGCTCCCATTGCTCCCCCACCATTGTGCTGGTCGTTTCCCGCACCTTCCCCAATTCCACCTATGCTTTGCCATGCGTGTCTGTGTCCCTTTCGGCACAGATACCATACTGGAAGTTGGATCCGTGGGGATGGCAGTGGTAGATGCCAGCACCACCATGCATGATCTTGCTTTCTTTCTGTGCTTGCTTGCTTGGCCATCATGCCTGCTTGGCCATCATGCCTGCTTGGCCATCATGCCTGCTTGGCCATCATGCCTGCTTGTCCCTTCAGGCACAGATACTAGAAGTTGGATCGGTGGGGATGGCAGTGGCAGATGAGAGTCAAAATGTGACACTGTTCATGCATCATGAGAAGCCCATGGTACGGCCTTGCTTGTTGTATGTGCATCACGTTATTTTAACCCATAGTGTGTGCGTGCGTGACACCGTTCATGCATCATGAGAATCTAAGGTACAAAACTGTTCATCCATCAGTATACTACGCTGCTCGTTCCCCTCCCATCCCATCCCATCCCATCCCATCCCCTCCCATCCCATCCCATCCCATGCCATGCCATCCCATCCCATCCCATCCCATCCCATCCCATCCCATCCCATCCCATCCCATCCCATCCCATCCCATCCCATCCCATCCCATCCCATCCCATCCCATCCCATCCCATCCCATCCCATCCCATCCCATGCCATCCCATCCCATGCCATCCCATCCCATCCCATCCCATCCCATGCCATCCCATCCCATGCCATCCCATCCCATCCCATCCCATGCCATCCCATGCCATCCCATGCCATCCCATCCCATCCCATCCCATGCCATCCCATGCCATCCCATGCCATCCCATGCCATCCCATCCCGTGCCGTTCCCCTTTTCTCTCGCCCATTCACCAGCCAGCATCAGCAGCAGCCATGGGAGAAGTAGTCAGAGCAGCCCTTTCTCCCTCTGTACATCCATCCTAGCAGCCAGCATCAGCAGCCGCGATGGCAGAAAGCTATCTTTGGGGTAGTGCCTGCAGGACCAGATGCTAAGGATGTAAATGATTATTGGAGGCAGTGAGAGCAGAGTTTTCTTCTATCCCTTGCTTTTTTACACCTCTCTTACCACCCACTTGGCATCCCTTACTCACTCTCTCCCTCGCATCCCACCAGCCAGCAACAGCAGCAGCCATGGCCGAGGTAGTGAGAGCAGCAGCAGCATCCATCAATGGGGGAGGTGAAAAAGACAGAAATGTAGCAGACGCAGCAGCAGCGATGCTGATACACAACTCTTCCCCTTCCTCCATCTCTCTCCCCATCCCGCCAGCCAGCAGCAGCAGCAGCGATGGCGGAATCGCTGAGAGCAGCAGCAGCATCTATCAAGGGGGGAGGTGAAGGGGACTCGAATGCAGCAGAAGAACTAGAAGGAAGAGAGGAGAGTGCGCGCACGGGTGTGCATGTGGAGCTGGCCAGTGAGGACACGCCAGGTGTCCCTCCCTCCTCCCTGCTCGCAATGCTGGCTGAGGTGAGTAATGGTGAGCAAACCGTCATGAAGGGGGAGGCACGAGCTCGCATGACTTGTTGTTTCTTCCAGTGTCTCAGATTTGAAACTCCTCTGACGCGAAGGTAGAGCTGGTGCGGGTGATTTTTGAGCATTCTCAAAATGCGGGTGTGCGTTTGGAGCCAGCCAGTGAGGACATTGTTAGACTCTTTCACCCAGGTGTCCCGCCCTCGTCTCTCCTCGCAATGCTGTCTGGAGTGTTGTGGTTGTGGCTAGCTCCGCCCTCCCTCTTCCCCAGGTGACTTTTGAGTCGACTCAAAATCAAGAGTACTTTTGAGTCGACTCAAAAGCAAGAGTGCTTTTCAAAAATCAAGAGTGCTTTTTACAATGTGCTTTTGAGTTGACTCAAGAGTCACCTCGTTACAATGTCTCGCAATGCTGTCTGAAGTGTTGTGGCTAGCTCCGCCCTCCCTCCCTCTCCCACAGCATCCAGGTTTGTTCCTGCTGTACTGCTTCTCAGACTTCAATTAACCACTACCCGCTGAGATGGTTTTCTCCTGCTGTGCGCATCTCCAACCCCAACCCCTACCTCACCAGCCAGCCTCGACACCCTCCTGAGTCGACTCAAAAGCCTGCTGTGCGCGTCTCCAGCCTGCTGTGCGCTTCTCCAACCCCAACCCCTACCTCACCAGCCAGCCTCGACACCCTCTCCTCCATCCACCGCTCCTCCCACTTCCATTGTCCCTTTTCCTCTCATCCCCCCCCCGCCCCTCCCTCACTCGGCTGTCAAGCCTCAGTTAACACCTGCCTCATATCCAACCTCTCTCCCTGCCTCCTCTCCCCCCCTCCTCTGCGTTCCATCCCCCAGCATCCAGGCCTCTCTGCTCTCCTTCTCTCTGACTTCAACCAACACGTCTCCAACCCGTACCTCAACAGTCACGTCGACATCCTCCCTCCCCTCTCTCTTCTTTCTACTCTCTTGTTGCTCCCTTTCCGCCCTCCCCCTTCCGCTCTCCCCTTTCACTCTCCCCCTTCCGCTCTCCCCCTTCCGCTCTCCCCCAGCATCCAGGCCTCTCTGCTCTCCTTCTCTCAGACTTCAATCAACACGACTGCAACGTGTACCTCAACAGCCACCTCGACCCCCTCCCTTCCATCCACCTCACTTCCCTCGCCTACTTCTTCCTCTTCCTGCCCTCTTTTCCCCTTCCCCAACCCCAACCCTTCTCTCTGTCTTCCAGCATCCTGGCCTCTCCGCTCTCCTTCTCTCAGACTTCGACCGACACCTCTCCAACCCCTACCTCAACAGTCATTTAGACACTCTCCCCTCCCCTCTCACCCTCACTTCTTTCAACTCTCCTGTCTCTCCCACTTCCACTCCCCCCCCAGCATCCAGGTCTCTCCGCTCTTCTCCTCTCAGACTTCAATCAGCACGTCTCCAACCCTTACCTCAACAGTCACCTCCACACCCTCCCCTCCATCCACCTCCCCTCCCGCTGCCTTTGTCCCGGTTCCTATCACCCCCCTGCCCCCTCTGTCCCCCAGCATCCGGGCTTCTCTGCTCTCCTTCTCTCAGACTTCGACCAGCACGTCTCCAACCCCTACCTCAACAGCCACCTCGACGCCCTCCCCTCCCCTCTCACCCTCACTTCTTTCAACTCTCCTGTCTCTCCCGCTTCCCCTCCCCCCCAGCATCCAGGTCTCTCCGCTCTTCTCCTCTCAGACTTCAATCAGCACGTCTCCAACCCTTACCTAAACAGCCACCTTGACACCCTCCCCTCCATCCACCTCCCCTCCCTCACTCTCTCCTCCACCCTTCTCGCCCGCTCCCTCCTCCTCCTCTCAGGAGCCCCTCCCTCACTCGCCCTCCAAGCTTCAGTTAACGCCTCCCTCGTATCCGCCCTTACTCTCTGCCTCCTCTCCCCCTCCCCCGGCCTCCTCTGTCCCCTCGCCTCCTCCCTACTCACTCCCCGGGACCCTACTCCTAATCACTACACAGGGGTGTTTCTAGGGGTCCCCCCGTCCTTCTCCCCTTCCTCCTCCTCGCCTCCGCATGCCACCCCCTCTCCTCCTCTCTACACACTTGCTGATACCCCCCGATTGGTCTGGAATTTCTTGGCTAAGGCAACGGCAAGGAAGCAGCGAGGAGGGGAGGTTGTGGGAGAATGGGAGGAGGAGAGGGAGGGGAGGGAGTGTGTGAGGAGTGAGGAGTGTGGGGTCGCAGGGGAGGTGTGTGTGGGAGTGCGAGCAACGGCCAAGGGGGAGTGCCTTGTCTCCTCGACAACGTGAGTGCCAGACGTGGGAGTACAGTTCTGTGTGGTTTTGAGGCGCCTCAAAACTAGTGGGAGACTTGGCAGTACTGTTCTGTTCAAGGAGTCTTGAGAGGAGCGAGGAGTGTGGGGTCACAGGGGAGGTGTGTGTGGGAGTGCGAGCAAATGCCAAGGGGAAGTGCCTCCTATCTACAACAACGTGAGTGCCACTTAAGGCAGTTTGAGGTGCACTAGACTCCCCTACGAGGGCTGCGTATTACTGTGAGAGGTGCGAGCAACGGCCGAGGGGGAATGCCTCATCTCCTGAACAACGTGAGTGAAAGCCTTGTAGAGGAAAATGCATCCTGGCTCTCTCCCCCCATCCCACACACACTGGACTATAATCCCCCAACCAAATAGCCATGGGGACTTGGCGGATCCCTGAATCTTCAGCTCCTTCCTCCGTTTTGTTCCTCAGGTACATTCCAACTCTCTCCCCTCGCCTCACATTCAACATCACTCATTGGACCATTACCCCGCCACGGCCAGGAAGCCGCGGGACTTGGTTGATCCCGTGTAGACTGAGAGCTTCTGGCAGCACCTCAAGGCGCGGAAGACCTGGGACTCCTCAAAGCATGGGTACTTGATAAGTGCTGTGCTCACTCCTGGTTCTCATTTTGTTCCTCCCTGGTTTCCGCCTACCATCTCTGCCTTCTTCCCTTGTCCTTTCCAGGTACATCCCTGCTCTCTCCCCTCGCCTTGCCTTCAACGTCACGCACTGGACCATCACTCCCCCACGGCCAGGCAGCCATGGGGATATGGTTGATCCTGTGTGGACCGAGAGCTTCTGGCAGCACCTGGGGCTGCGGAGTTATTTGGTGGATGATCCGATATGGGATGTCTCGATACTGTTTGGAGGAGTGGTGTGGGTGGCGGTGCTCTGTGTGCTTATGAGCTGGGCTGATAAGACTGTTACCAAGAAGCTGAAAAGAGTGTAGAGAAGCTACCATGGGCTGCATGTATCAGACATTGTTAGCTATAATCCTACTCGTGGATTCATTCTTTCCAATCCTTTGGAAATATTAGCAAACATGCAAGTTGTGCATGCAGTCACCTAACATATAGCTTGAGATAGTGGTGTTAATAAATCAAATTGTTTGATAAAAGTTTACACTCACCATTTTGCCACTTCTATTCGCACAATTGTGCTGCGCCACTGTAGTTACGAAATATCTCGCAGCTTCGCGAAGGCAGCTGCTCATCTCCTTCCATCCCCAATCCGCATACACATCCGCGGACCGCTCTGTTCCGCGTTCTGCGGGACCCTCCGCGTGACTGCATCTCCCCTGCCTCACCACCACACCACCCGCTGAAGGTCCCCCGCGGACGCGGAGAACTTCCGCTCCGCTCCGCCCTGCTTCCAGAACCCCCCCGCGCTTTCCAGGTCCTTCTAGCCCCTTTCAGCACCTTCCAGCGCCTTCCAGCGCCTTCCCGCGCCTTCCAACAGCTTCCAGCGGCTTCCGCAAGCCTCGAGAATGCGCGGGAACTCTCCAGCGCCGCGGGCTGCGGAGTGGCGGAACCGATAGTATAAAACCGATGGAGCAGCAGCCAATCGTCACTTCCATTCTCAACTCGACTCAACTCTACTATCCAAAGCTTATTGTTCGACGCTTGGACCGACGACCTAGCACCTCTACATCCTAGGCACATTCCAGCAATCGAGTTTCTAACTGCCACTTCGTACATTCCCCATTTCGTAACAACCGCAGCGGGACCCAGATTTTTGCGCATTTCCGTCGATAAATAGTAGAGAATAGTATGGATTTCGGCTTTCCCGGCTTTCAGTCCCCGTATTACCACCCGTATCACGAATCGTCACCGCGCCACGTTCCGAACTACTCCCGCCCAGCAATGTGGGGAGAGATCGAGGACCCCTTCGATTCCCGCTCCGCCTACTACTCTCGGGCGGCGCAGCAACAGCGCCAAGCGGAAATGCGCCGACAGGCGGAACTGCGCCGGCGGGAGGAGCTGCGGAAAGAGGAGGCGCGGCGCCAGGCGCACGCTTCCGCGCTCCAGCAGGCGCAGATCGAAGCGCAGAAGAAGCAGCAGCTGCAGCAGCGATACCAGCAATGGCTTCAGCAGCAGCAGATGCTGCGACAGCCGCAGAACCAAAAGCAGGCTCAAGGTGCGGCAGCGGGTTTCCAACAGGACCCACGTATACAACAACTCGCGGCAGCGCAACTCGCAGCGCAACTCGCGGCGAAATATAAGCAGCAGCAGCAACAGCAGCAGCGGGGCAGCGAGAATCTCGAAAGCGAGAGTGACGAGAGCGACGAGAGCGAGAGTGACACAGCCTCGCAGTGGGACGACAGCGACAGTGTCAGCGAGTCTGGGTCGCATTTGAGCGAGCCCCGCTCCGAATCCGACAGCGAGTCAATGCCTGAGCTGGCTTCGTTATTCGAGCCCGCGACGCCGCCGCCAGGCGCATTCGTGACGAGCTCTCCGAAGAAAACGACGCCTGCTCCAGTAACACAAGGATCATCTGCAGAATCAGCAAAAGTAGCAGCAGAGGCGCCATCAGCAGCATCAGATCCAGCTGCAGACTCAGCAGCACCAGCAGCAGCGGCAGCAGCAGTGCAATCCCCACCCAAGACCCCAACGGCGAGCCCACTGCCCAAGAATGACGCGACTGTTACTAGTAGCGCTACTAACGCTGCTCCTATGTCGGACGACCGTGCAGCTGTAACGATTCAGGCGGCGTGGAAGGGCCACCAGGTGCGAGCAGGGAGGCCTCTAGAAGTCGCCAAGCCGATCGTGGAGCTTCGGAAGCTGGCTCGGGACATGGAGGAGAGGCTCGGGGACAAGGAGTTCGTCGCCAAAGTGGTTTCCGAACCTATGGAGAAGCTTCGGGTGACCGAGACGATCATGTGCTGGTTGCTTCGCTTGGACGAGGTGCAGTCATCTAACAATGACGTGCGGGCTTTAAGAAGAGACATGGCTCGGAAGCTTACTAAGTTGCTAGACAGGGCGGAGGCGCTCAAGGCCGCTTCGTAAGCTTAGGAATATGTTGGCTGGAAAAATAGTTGGCTCGTTGGGTGGTTTAGTTAGGTTTTAGGGCTTCCTTTGGAGTGGCTCATTTGTACAAAAGTGCTGTCTTGTTTCCGTTCAGTGTACTAGTTGAACACTACACACAATGTCATGTGAATACTTTTATATGTGGGAACACTAGAATTTGCACCAAGTGTTGTTTCTTTGTTTGGTTGAGAATTTATAAGGCAATCGAAACAAGCATGCATGCGTGGTTGGTTTCTTTGAATGTCTCTTCTCGGCTCAAATTGGAGATGTTCAGGGCGTGGAATTTCAGGCTGTTGGGCTGAGGAGAAGCCCTAGGATCTTTTCAGAGCCTGAGTCCCACTTGTATGAAGTGCTTGATGTCGAGTGACCCGCTGGGTTACCCTTGAAAAGATCCTTGGAGAAGGGCCACAGGTGCAGAACCTCGAGTGCTATGGGCGCACTTACCCGCTATTTCAATAAGCCTATTTGACCTAGTGGTTAGTGCCTAAGTTCTTGACATGGTACATCAGAGCCAAAGGTCTTGGGTTCTAATCCCGGTTCTAATCCCGGTTCTAATCCCGGTGCTAGCACACTTACCCGCTATTTAACAAGCCCTTTTAACCCAGTGGTTAGTGTGTTATGTTGGGCTGAGAAAAGCCCTTAGGATCTTTTGCAGAGACTAAGTCCCAGCTGTAGAGACTTGAGACTTGGAGTAGTGCAGCGGAAGTTGAGGCAGTTGAACCCTTGTACTAGTATGTGAGAACAAGTGATTAATTAAAGAAACAAGCATACAGCAATATATAGAAGATAAGAAAGCAGTTGTAGAATACAGTTACAGGAACGGTTTATCGAGTCGCACAGCGACTCGATTGCCGCTTCGGTTACCATCCGTGATGTTGTAACGGTCAGTCGCAACCTCCAGTTGCGACCTTTCGGGTCCTTTCGCATTCTTTGTCCGCCCCCTCGTGTAACCTCCGTTGACTCGCGTGCTCCCCTGTAATCTTCCTCGAGTACAGTGTTACACTTCAGAAACGCTTAAGTCCTTGAGATATTTCCAACACTCCCCTTCGTTTCTGGAGTGCTGGAGTGTTCAGATCCGGTGACGTTTGTTTGCCCGGTTAGGAGCATGCAGTAGTCGAATTTTGCTTTCGCCAATTTCTTCGTCAGATAATCTGAGGCCATTTCTGTCGTCGGGCAGTAACTGAGTTGAAGTCTCCCCTTCGCGATTTCATCCTTGACGAAGAAGTACCGCAGGGCGATGTGCTTGGTTCGGTTGGCGAAGCCGTCCTTGTTCGCGATTTTGATCGCAGATTGGTTGTCGCAGAGGAGTGAGAAGGCGGGCAGGGTCGCGATCTTCGCTTCTTCGAGTAACTCTCGTAGGTAGAGTCCTTCCTTGGTCGCAGTACAAAGGGCGATATACTCTGCTTCAGCCGAGGATAGTGCGATTAACTCCTGCTTGCTCGACTGCCAGGAGATAGTTCCGATAGGTTCTAGTCGGTAGATGTAGCCCGTCCTAGACCGTCGATTTTCGCTGTCTCCCGCGTGGTCGGCGTCGACGTATCCGAGTAGTTGTACGGACGGTGTTGTTGCCTTGCTGTAGGTGAGCCCGATCGTCGGCGTGGAGACGAAGTAGAGTAGCGCTCGATTGAGTTCTTCGAGATCTTCCTGTTGCGGCTGCTTCAGATGTGTCGCCAGCTGACTCGCACTATAGGATAGGTCGGGTTGGCAGGTTACTGCTGCGAATAGTAGGCAGCCGAGCTTCTGTTGATACTCCTGGATTTGTTTCGCGGGGAGTTTTGTGGAGGCGCTACTGTTGTTCCCATAGCGGTAGGGAGTTGGGACCGCAGTCGGTGCTAGACCGAATTTCTTCGCGACGGTGCTTGAGTACTTTCCAGCGTGTAGGTAGAACGCCGTGTCGTCTTCGACGATGTTCAGTCCTAGGTACTGGGTAACTTCGTCGGACACCGTGAGCGTCAGGTCCCTTTTCAGCTCCCCTTCGAACCAGGTGACGATGTCGGTGGTAGAACCGATGTAGAGCAGGTCGTCGACGTAGACGATGAGCAGAATGTAATCTCTTCCCTTCTGTAGTCGGTACATGCCTTGGTCATGTGGTAGCTGTAGGAATCCGATTTTTACGAGCCGGCCGTGAAGGTGCTGCTGCCAGAGCCGTGGGGCTTGCTTGATCCCGTAAAGGGATTTTTCCAGCTGGCATACTTTTGAAGGGTCGTCGATGAATCCGTGGGGTTGTTCGACGAAGATTTCGGCGTCCACAGGTGCGTACAAGAAGGCGTTTGCAACGTCGATTTGCCGTAGTGGTAGTTTCTTCGTGGCCGCGATGGCGAGTAGGATGCGCAGAGAGGTGTGACGGGAGACTGGAGCGAAGGTTTCTGTGTAGTCGGTTCCGTATCGTTGATCGAAGCCTCGTACGACCCATCGAGCTTTGAATCGTTCGATGGAGCCGTCTGAGTTGGTCTTGATGCGGTACACCCATTTCCCCGAGAGAATGTTCTTCCCGTTGATGCTCGTTGCAGGTACCAGTTTCCATGTTTCTCGGTCTTGCAGAGCTTTTAACTCTTTTTCCATCGCTTCCTTCCATTGTGCCTTATGTTCCCCCCCCAGAGCCTGCGAAAGGGTCGACGGCTCGCGCGGAGAAGGCGGCGGCGGGTGCTGGACGGAGACCCATAGTCCTAGGATCTGCAGTCCCGTGGCTGTGTGTCGAGGGGAGTTTTCATTCTCGGGATAAGCTGCTTCATCACCGTCTTCAGGATCGGGTAAGAAGTTTGGCCCGATGCGTTCGGAAATATTCGAGTCGACGGGGTGTGGTGTAGCGTAGCCTTGGTCAGCGAAGTGGTAAAAGGTGTCGAGGTTGTTGCTATCGAGGGGATTATCTTCATCGAGTGGAACAGGTACGGAGCAGTAGGGGAGTGGTCCGGCAGCCTCCGAGGCTCCAGGGACGTCTTCTTCTGCTGCGTCAGCCTCGGCAGCATGGTCAGCGAAGGAGCGAAGGCCCGCGAAGCCGTCGGTGGGGTCGTCTGAGTTGGCAATGTTGTCCAGGTAATGCTGCAGCGTCAGTCGCTCGTAGAAGATAACATCACGTGATGCCACCGTATTTTTGTCGTGTATGTCGAGAATCTTCCACGCGTGAAAATGTTTGGCGATGCCGAGGTGTAGTCCCCACCGAGCTCGTTGAGTGAAGCGTCCTGCTCGAGCTGTGTGGGATCTGTATTGTACCATGCAGCCGAAAACTCGAAGTAATTTTGTGCTGCCCCTTTTTTCGTCCACAGCAGGTGCGGTGATGCGTTGTTGGGGAGCGATGACGAGGACAACAGGTTGTGCAGGTGGACTGCATGTGTCATCGCGTCTGGCCACAGTGTATTGGGCAGCCTCATCCCCAGAAGCAGTTTTCGCATCGTCGTCTGCAAGGTCCGGTTCATGCGTTCTGCTACCCCCTGCTGCTGGTGAGCATAGGGCAGAGACACCAGGCGTCGGATTCCCCTTTCCGCGAGGTAGGTCCTGAAGCGTTGTGACTGGTATTCCAGTGCACCGTCTGACTGGAAACTCTTGAGTTTGGTTCCTGACTCTCGTTCGGCGATTGGAAGCCATGTGGTGAAGGCCTCGAAGGCTTGATCGCGCGTTTTGAGATTGAAGTGCCAGACGTATCTGGTTGCGGCGTCGATGAACGTGATGACGTAGTTGAAGTCGGCTTCGGTGTCGTCTCGAGGCATGTTTAGAATATCGCTGTAGACCTTTTCCATCGGAGCGTAAGTGGGTGCGCTTGGATTGTGATGGGCTGGGAAAGGTTGATGAGGAAGATCTGCTTCGGGGCACGTGAAGCATCGTGCTCTTGGTCGGCGAAGTTCTTGGCCGCTCGTCGTTAGAAGGGCGTTACGTTCTAACACCTCTGCTTGTATTGTTTGTAGTATCGTGCTGTTTGCAGGATGTCCGAGACGTTGGTGCCAGATGTCGTCGGGAGCGCGGTGACCGGGCGAGCGGTGGTAGATGTCGGCGTTGGAGAAGAACGCGACGACCGAGGCGGGACTTCGACAAGCTTCTCGTGTGGCGGGCATAAGTTGGTCTGCTTCCGTTGGCGGTCCTCGTGTTGATGGTGGTGGTACTCGGCTGGGTCCTGCTGCCGATACTGCAGGTGATGGTTTTGTTGGGACGCTTGCTGGTACTTGTCTTTCTTGTCTGATAACTGCTAATGCCCGTGTTCTCTCTGCTGCAGGTATGGTGTTGGAGTGCCAGAAGCCGTCACTGTCGAAGTCGGGATCAAGATCTGGTGGGTGAGTCCAGGCGGCGAACGATACGATGCCATCGCTGTCGGCAGTTCCGCGGTCGGGGACGAAGTCCAACACGAAGACACCGGACTTCAGGAGGGCACGACCGATGAAGAGACCGCCCTTCCCGTGGTAAAGTCGGAACTCGTTGGAGAAGGAGTCGCACTCCAGGTGAATCCCCTTAGCCATTAGTTGGCTTACGCTTAGTAGGTTGTATCCCAGATTGTCGACGATGAGGACTTTGTTGAGCTGAAGAATAACGTTTGTCTCCATTGATTGTAACTGAACCACGCCTTGCCTGTTTGTTTTCAGGTTTTCGTTGTTGGCGACGGTGATGACGACGTCGCGGTTGAGGCGTCGCTCGTGTTGTACGAAGCGTCCGGAGGAGCACATGTGCTGACCGCAGCAACTGTCCAAGAACCAGGTGTTCCGCCCGGTGGGTTCGGCGTTAGCGACTGCAGCGTATGTCGGGTTGACCTGAAGTCCTTGCGAGCGCGGCGGCGGGAATTCCTCTTCGTCTGGTGCGTAAGTGGGTGGTGAAGCGGGTGCGCAGTTGTCGATGTGTACCATGCAGTTGATGATGTTGGGTGTTTGTTGTGCAGATGTTGAAGAACGCCTTGGAGGACTTGCTTGAGTGGAAGCGACTTGTGGGTCTGCTGCACGGTAAACGCGAGGGCGGTTGCAGTTGACCTTGGAGTGCCCGGAAGTCTGACAGTTGTGGCAGAACGGCGGCACGATGGTGAGTCCTCGGTTGTCGCGTTGATCTTGCTTGCTGCGTCGGTTGTAGTTGTTGTCATTTCTTCTTTGAGTGTAGAAGACTAACTGCTGTTGCTTCCTTGGTTGTCTTTCCTCGAACAGATCCATCTCC